AAGTACATGTGCACCATGCATTAACACGCACTGGGTAAAATGCTTAAACAATGTCGTTTTCAAACTAAACACAAACTGCGCCCGAGAAACAAACACAATCAGCCGATCAAACTAACCGCAGTAGATACGCACGCATTGTCACATTTACAGAGATTCCTCATAACATGTAATGCTATTAAAAATGAATCAATAAAACCCATTGAACATATCTCTCCCTCTCTCCAGCCGTTTGAGAAAATACCCGCCAACTATTACCCTGACTGTCTGCTGGTCTCAGGTCGTGGTCGCCCACAAGCACAAGTACGGTAATTGCTGCCACAGTCACCATGGGGCTTGGCACTGTGTAGGGTTGCCGAACAGGTTCCTATAGAAAGATTTCCTCAATAACGTCACACAAGCTTGTGGGTTCCTGGTGGTGTTTGAGATCAATGTTTAGAAGAATGTACCCCAGTGCGCGATGATTGTCCTGACCTCTGGTCATCACGCTGATGGAACTGACCACGGAACGGACTACATTTATAGGCTTTTAGACAATGGTGCGGTATCGGCACAGGTCCCTCTCCTTGGATGAGACGGTTACCTTGTGATGATGATCATGAAGGTCAAGATGGCGATCATCATCATAGTTCGTAAAGCACTGCACCTTCTTGAAAGGACGCCAGACTCGTTTCAGAGGAGGAACTATGGATGTGATTTCTGGTTTAAATCTACCAACGTGATTACAGTTTCACAGGACAATGGAAATAAGTGTTTCTTTAACTATCAACAATGACATATTTCAATCCACATTGCGCATACATCACGTGAAAGTCAACAGTTTTGAACTTTGTGTATTGATGTTTGTTCAATAACGTATCACTCTCATGCAAGCTGGTCAGATATTCACGAATTCCGCAAGGTGTTATCGCTCGGCCTTTGACCGGGATACCCGCTCCCAGCCATCAGTAACTATCAATGACACAGCGTATACTCTGCCCATATTGTATGTCAGCTCTGTTGCTACTTCGATAGGCGTCACACCCTGTTAAGAGGTCTCAGTTTTGTCAATGTCGTTATTTATGTACGAATAGGCGTATGACGGATTGCGAAAATACACGCTAAGCTGTATGTTGTGCTCGTAACTCTAACGTACGTCCTGTCATCTACTTAGAGGCTGTGCTGGATTACGCCTTGACTGGAGTACTCGCCTTGGATGCTGTACGTTCTGTGTCGTTATACAGGAATGTATGTGTGTGCTATGTGTGACTGACCTGGAGGTTGACAAAACTAACAGAAAGGTAAGTGGACAAACACGTGGAAATCAAGGTATTTTCCCGACGCGTAAAGCTAGAAATCGAGAGAGAGAGAGAAATTTTACACGAAAATGATTGATTGCGCGATTAGCATTATCAGAGTTCAGTGTGAGGGATCAGTGTGAGGGTTATTCAATGTATATTATTGTCCTTCTCAATATCATATTCAATGTCCTTGTCAATGTATGAAATGGCTGAAAGTTCGGTATATCCGACTTCATTATATACAAACTCCACTGCACTTTCACATCACTAAAAGTTCTAATTTCCTTTCTTACAAATCATATAATCATATGTTTTAATCTACTTAGCATGAAAGTATTACTTTAAATCGATTTTAACCAGCTTCATCGAATATACCTGCATATTACGTCAAAATGTTTAGTAAAAAAAAGAATATTTGTAAACGTGACAATAAGCATATAATGGATTCATGTGGTAGAGCAGGATGTTGAAGTACATATTAGAGGGAGTCGAGGTTGATCTTTATTTTCCCCTTCCAATGACGTATACACCTTGTAGTTTTTATTAACGATCTTGATTTAAGTTTAACAGCAAATCAACACGGTTGTATTAGTGTGTCAATTGTATTATTATGAAATTATATTATATCAATCACATTGTACGTTACAAAATACATTTAATAAGCGCAAAGAACACATAACAGGTGTAACCAGTGAGCCAGATGAATTGTGAATCATTTACGAACTCATCAAACGGGCAGTCTGTGACGTCTTCGTTAACGACATGCTGCCTAAACCTCGACATATAATATAGAAATACGATTTTTTAAACTTCAAAATCAAAATTAATTTGTAAATACCATTTTCTTAGGAAACAAGGAACTGGAATACAGTGTAACCATACTTGTTTGTAGTGTCTCTATTGACTTTCAAACGAGAAAATTCGGATCGGCTGAAAAGTAAGTGATTGTCTGAATTGGTTAAAGAGACTCATGCCCGGTTTGTACAGCTTTTTGAGAAAGGGTGGTGTGTGTGTGTGTGTGTGTGTGTGTGTGGTGTGTGTGTGTGTGTGTGTGTGTGTGTGTGTGTGTTGTGTGTGTGTGTGTGTGTGTGTGTGTGTGTGTGTGTGTACACTATTGAGAAAGGGGCAGTTTCAATGGTCATTTAACGAACTTTCTGGACAAAAGGGGGGGGGGGGGGCACCCCTGCACCCCGCCTTTCGATCCGCCTATGTGCAACAAAGATCTGGTTCTTCGATGGTGATCTATTTAATATAGATATCATCCTGCTTCTCTTTACAGGCTTTATATAAGTATCTCACAACAGGTGATGACACGTGACGTTTTAAAGTACACGTCAGATGCAAATTCTCTGAAAACAGAATGATCAGAGTAAAGTGTGAATTTACAAGTTTGATTATTTGCATTGCAGACAGTTTAGTAGCTATAATATTCAGATTGCTACTAAAAAAACATTGATTTACTTTACGCACTAATCAAGTTTAATTACAAAATACAAGTCATTATACACAGATATCGACACTGTGAAATTCGTTAGGATCATAGGTCTGTACATAATCAGGCTTCACAGTCAATGTTACAGTAGACAAACATAATGTAAATCTGTACTACTATGAAATCACGGGCGACAACCACGTGACCCAGTATTTATGACACGTATCAAATTATCATTACTGAGATTTGTTGTCGATATCATTGATTGACGGCGTAATTAAACAAACTACAAAATTGATTTCATGTATGTGTACAATTTATACCGTGTAGGGTGAAATGAACAGACTGTTTAAAAAGGGTTGAAACTTATAGCATGAATAATTGCTAGGTTGATGGAGATAATGTTTACACACTTGTCAATGTTAATAGACCCATTTGGATTCTGTTGAAACTATAAGTGTCTGTTTACACTGTGATCTCGCGTGCTCGGGAGTATTCTTCACACCTCGACGTTTCTGTTAGGGACAGGTTCCTGAATGCTTTTTGCATGCGACGAAAATATCAGCTGGTCCCAATGTCCCCGGACAGTAGAGGTCGCTGCTCTTACTATCATACAATGGCTTCACACAACCTACAAGCCGATACGAGCAACAGAAATACTACTATTAAGTACATTCCCCATAACTACTACTTGTGGCCAGACTGATTTACGTTCTGTAGAACGTGCCGCCCGAAAGGTTGAAAAAGAACACGTTGGGCCTGAACCCGGACTGAAGTGGAAATCTGACATATTGCTGCTGTCACTTTACTGATCACAGAACGGATTGCAAAAATACACGCTAAGCTGTATGTTGTGCTCGTAACTCTAACGTACGTCCTGTCAACGAACACATAGTAACGTATGTAACACTTGAAGGCACAAACCTGCATCTAATATTTATATAGTTGCATATGTAAATAGTATATCGTATAAGTAACGGGGATGCTTTTGGGGGAAGTACACAATGTAGACTGAAAAGGCGTGTAGGAAATTTGTGTCAATGGCAACATTACCTTCAGTATAGATAGAATTACTTTCTTATGAAGCATTGCAATATAACTGTGATATACCTTGCTTGGGTTTATTGTCAGGTACACCGAGGTTTGTTGAATTGGTATTATTACTTAGGATCGATAAGATCCTGATAGTTACAGTAGCTGCACATGCACCTTAACAACTCTTTGGGTGAGTCCTGAGGCTGATTTGTGGGTAGAAGCAGTATCACGCCCTGCTGTTAATAACGCTTCATGTATGCCATGACCTCAAACGTTGTTCCTGAATTCACAAATTGAAAACATTACGTCATCAGGGCTAAGGTTTGTCAACACTGGCAAGTAAAATTTTTAATCATCTTCCTGTAAATGACAGTGTAAAATATCTACAATAACCCGCTCGGAACTGAAAAGAAGGATTATCTATCCCTGGGCCAAAATGACAGGAATCTATATTCGATGAATATTTCACAAACAATATATAAAGACACCATACTTGCTCGATGCCATGCTCATTTACCTGTGTTTATATCATCATTCTATTGAGATAAATACCATGACAGTTTTAATCGTTTTATTATATATTTCGTTATTTTGTATATTATCTTTCTGGTTGTCTGGACAAGAGCCCATTGAGGAGGGTACAATGTTTCATCAGGATGTTTGTGAGATGGAGAGTCTCTACTTCGTCTCATCTAGGGCCATGGTACCGTGACCACTCTGGCAATATTCAATCTTTATATACGTAGAACTGGCTTGTGTATGTTTTGTCCTAATACTTCTACTTTATTTGAATACTTTAGGTATCTAGGCAACCAAGACCCTGCAGCAGGCTGCAGTATGTCACCACAAGCACTACTTGGGATTCTCGTCTTTGTCCTGCTCCCCCATCACTATGCTGCTTCAGGTATGTCCTTCAACATCTGATGTGGTGCACTGGACATTCCAGTCGCCGTTATACTGTATAGCCATGTGTGTGGCAGACAATGTGGCCGTTAAACAGGATTGAAACGTCATTAACTCGACAAATATATAGGGTATTTATGCAGGAAGCTTGCGTTTGAATTTGTGTTTTTAATTGTGAATATAGAATTACAACACATGCATTAAACACAGTGATATTTATAGGTGTGGTTGGAGATTATATTGGAACTGTAACTTTGTCACCTGTGTATGATATAATATGTTACTTAATCATCTCATATTTGTAATTTGGACTGAATGTAACTATATTAAAAAATGTCTTTTATTATAGACTGTCGACAGCTTGACTCTGCGGTGAAGTCATACTACCGAGAACCCGAAGGGGGTTCAAGTAAGTTACATAGTTCTAACATTGGTTGGATACTGCGTATCCGATACTGACATAAGGCAAAATCATAGAAATCTGGCATATGTTTTCACATATGAGAGGTACTAGTATATATTCATGGTATTTGGTTGCCTTACCAAGCAATTGGTTTTTAGATTACGTCCTCATAAACCGAAAATATATTATTCCTGATTGGCTGAAAATAGATCACGCGAGGCTTTATTGGACTGCATTATTGGCCTGAACGGCATCACTAATACCGCATTTTGTGTACTGTTTTAAGCTTGTGTACTGTTTTAAGATTAGTGATATCATTTAATTCTCATGTTAACCGATGTCGCTGCAACAGTCTCCTTTGCAATTCCATTGCAACGATATCTTCAAGGATATATCGTTGATCTCACACCCGTCATACATCCAGTAGAAGCCAACTTTTGTATGAAAAAAACCCTATGACCGGATTCGATGCTATTGAGTAAATTAAGCTCTTGTGTGGATACGAACATCTTAATACGAGCATTAAATTTGGAACAAAGGCATTTCACAGTAAAGGTTATATATATGGTTCAATCATTTTTCAGCGAACAAGGTGTATTTAAACATAACCCTTCCAACTGATCGGCAAGTGACACTCACCGCAATTCCACCCTATCACATCATACTTGAGAGAAATCCTGAGGCTGGAAACAACAGGTGGATTCTCAGAGTTAATGGGTCACTGGATGCAGAAACTGTGAGTTATATGTACAGCAGATAGACAACCAGAGTTAATGGGTCACTGGATGCAGAAACTGTGAGTTATATGTACAGCAGATAGACAATCAGAGTTAATGGGTCACTGGATGCAGAAACTGTGAGTTATATGTACAGCAGATAGACAATCAGAGTTAATGGGTCACTGGATGCAGAAACTGTGAGTTACAGCATATAGACAATCAGAGTTAATGGGTCACTGGATGCAGAAACTGTGAGTTACAGCATATAGACAATCAGAGTTAATGGGTCACTGGATGCAGAAACTGTGAGTTATATGTACAGCAGATAGACAACCAGAGTTAATGGGTCACTGGATGCAGAAACTGTGAGTTACAGCAGATAGACAACCAGAGTTAATGGGTCACTGGATACAGAAACTGTGAGTTACAGCATATAGACAATCAGAGTTAATGGGTCACTGGATGCAGAAACTGTGAGTTACAGCATATAGACAATCAGAGTTAATGGGTCACTGGATGCAGAAACTGTGAGTTATATGTACAGCAGATAGACAACCAGAGTTAATGGGTCACTGGATGCAGAAACTGTGAGTTACAGCATATAGACAATCAGAGTTAATGGGTCACTGGATGCAGAAACTGTGAGTTACAGCATATAGACAATCAGAGTTAATGGGTCACTGGATGCAGAAAACTGTGAGTTATCTGGATGCAGAAACAGCAGATAGACAACCAGAGTTAATGGGTCACTGGATGCAGAAACTGTGAGTTACAGCATATAGACAATCAGAGTTAATGGGTCACTGGATACAGAAACTGTGAGTTACAGCATATAGACAATCAGAGTTAATGGATCACTGGATGCAGAAACTGTGAGTCACTGGATGCAGAAACTGTAGTTATATGTACAGCAGATAGACAACCAGAGTTAATGGGTCACTGGATGCAGAAACTGTGAGTAACAGCATATAGACAATCAGAGTTAATGGGTCACTGGATGCAGAAACTGTGAGTTACAGCATATAGACAATCAGAGTTAATGGGTCACTGGATGCAGAAACTGTGAGTTATATGTACAGCAGATAGACAACCAGAGTTAATGGGTCACTGGATACAGAAACTGTGAGTTACAGCATATAGACAATCAGAGTTAATGGGTCACTGGATGCAGAAACTGTGAGTTACAGCATATAGACAATCAGAGTTAATGGGTCACTGGATGCAGAAACTGTGAGTTATATGTACAGCAGATAGACAATCAGAGTTAATGACAATCAGGTCACTGGATGCAGAAACTGTGAGTTACAGCATACAGACAATCAGAGTTAATGGGTCACTGGATGCAGAAACTGTGAGTTACAGCATATAGACAATCAGAGTTAATGGGTCACTGGATGCAGAAACTGTGAGTTATATGTACAGCAGATAGACAACCAGAGTTAATGGGTCACTGGATGCAGAAACTGTGAGTTACAGCATATAGACAATCAGAGTTAATGGGTCACTGGATACAGAAACTGTGAGCAAGAAACTGTGAGAGTTACAGCATATAGACAATCAGAGTTAATGGGTCACTGGATACAGAAACTGTGAGTTACAGCATATAGACAATCAGAGTTAATGGGTCACTGGATGCAGAAACTGTGAGTTACAGCATATAGACAATCAGAGTTAATGGGTCACTGGATACAGAAACTGTGAGTTACAGCATATAGACAATCAAAGTTAATGGGTCACTGGATGCAGAAACAGTGAGTTACAGCATATAGACAATCAGAGTTAATGGGTCACTGGATGCAGAAACTGTGAGTTACAGCATATAGACAATCAATGTTAATGGCTCACTGGATGCAGAAACTGTGAGTTACAGCATATAGACAATCAATGTAAATGGGTCACTGGATACAGAAACTGTGAGTTACAGCATATAGACATTCAATGTTAATGGGTCACTGGATGCAGAAACTGTGAGTTACAGCATATAGACAATCAATGTTAATGGGTCACTGGATGCAGAAACTGTGAGTTACAGCATATAGACAATCAGAGTTAATGGGTCACTGGATACAGAAACTGTGAGTTACAGCATATAGACAATCAATGGGTTAATGAGGTCACTGGATGCAGAAACTGTGAGTTATATGTACAGCATATAGACAATCAGAGTTAATGGGTCACTGGATGCAGAAACTGTGAGTTACAGCATATAGACAATCAGAGTTAATGGGTCACTGGATACAGAAACTGTGAGTTACAGCATATAGACAATCAGAGTTAATGGGTCACTGGATACAGAAACTGTGAGTTACAGCATATAGACAATCAGAGTTAATGGGTCACTGGATACAGAAACTGTGAGTTACAGCATATAGACAATCAATGTTAATGGGTCACTGGATGCAGAAACTGTGAGTTACAGCATATAGACAATCAATGTTAATGGGTCACTGGATACAGAAACTGTGAGTTACAGCATATAGACAATCAGAGTTAATGGGTCACTGGTTGCACATACGATGAGTTATTTAATGATGTGTATTGAACCTGATAAACGGATTCGTCAACCATTCACTGAAGATGAAAAATGTTATGGTTCTCCAACTAGTTTTCAGTTGAACCATTGCAGCTATTCTTGAAGTTTTCTATGTATTTTATTAGAATTCTAAATGACTGACAACATCTTGTTTTAGGTCAGCCAAATCCATGGAAATCTCAGATGTGTAGGACCCCTTGCACAAACAGTAAGTGTTCTTTTTGTATGGAATTCTGGAAGGGACATTGTCGCGTTGTCGCGCTTTGGTTAATTTTGCCTCATTTTGCTTGTTTGTGAGAGGGCGACAATGCGACAACGCGACAATGTACCTTCCAGTATTCCATACTTTTGGGATATGAATTTAACATTACTTTGTGATAGGACTAACTTAACATTTGTATGTCTACGTACCTATTTCACATTGATTTATTGTTTTCAATTTAAAACCATAGCCACGTTTTTTACCCCCAAAGTGAGGATACGGGTCATTAGATACTAAATCCCTACGTGACTCGTGCGTTGTTTATAAATCTTATGTCAACGCAATGTAAATATACCCTATGTCAATTATCAAAGTTTATACTTTTTGCGTTACAGCAGAGAATGTCACTTAAATCTGTGTGATATATATCATGTTAGTCCTGCATTCATTATATATTCTATAAATTGTATGTTCATTGGGCCTGTGGCCTTTAAAACTGTATGAATAAATACAATACACACTCTTGCGTTGTGCATATCTAATTATTTTACTTAACGAGATCCCCGCTTTCACTCGTTTAAAAACACTGGTGTTACACGAGAGCCTGTTTAGTATTGTATTTATTTTACCATAATTTCATAGCTTGGATTCTGATCGATAACTGTTCTTTGTTTCATATAGGGTATTACAACCATTTTTATAGTGGTGGTCGAAGATGTCAATGAATTTTCTCCAAAGTTTGGACAAAACATCTACACGGTTAATGTCAGCGAGGTAATATCGAGTTACTTCCCTTGTGATGATAGCTTTATTTTCAATCACTATAATGGTCTATAAAAATATGTGATTGGGTGGTTGTAATGTGTGACCTGAGTGTGTCTCATTGTACACCAACGTATCTTTGTTACACCAAGACACCATGTAAATAGGCCACCCCGGTATGACTGAAATACCGGCTTAAATAACATATCCGTTCACTATATACTAAACCCAACCAAGCTAAGGACCACCCCAATATTCAATATTTAAGTATTGTATGGATAATAAAATGAACTGTTAAATACTTTAATGCTGAAAATCGGGATGGTCCTAACTTTGTTGTTGCGTATAGATCCTAAATTTCGGTTGCAACATTTGTAATTGTCGTGATAAAATAGATTACACCTATTATGGATAAGTTTGAATAGGTGGTTGATGATATGTGGAGTATCAGAGCTATCTTAGATGTATGACGTTATATATTGTGTATATGAATGACGACTGCTGTTTCAGATGACACTGCCAAACACCACAGTCTTCACTTTAACAGGACTAGCTACCGACCCCGATGCGTCCAATGAACGCATTTACTACTCGCTGTCGCACAATCAAGTGAGAACTTCGTAAAACCGCCATAGTTCGCTGATTATTATTACTACCAAATTGTATTTATCCGCATTAACACGTGTTCGGTATGAAGAAGCAAGAAATGGAGTTATCGGCCTTTGTGTAAGCAGATGCCTACCATAGGTCATCGCTCGGATAGTGGGGTGTCCGCATTGACGGGGGTTTCACTCCGACATTGTTTTTCATGTTTTTTCAGCGATCCATTCATATAATTTTTACAGTTATTTTTTGCCTTTATACCAAACGGAATTTGTTCTGAGGATAATGAAGACTGAGTAATTAACCATTTAATTTGCACTGTGATCTGTATATATTTCAATCATTCTGTTGAATCAGAATATTTCGGTTCCGGGTTCTTCGTGCAGTGGTTTATAATTCAAACAGTATATTTACCTGATAACGGGCGTGCGACCACGAACGTTGTGTTTGGTAAATGCATAATACTTTAATCGATATATCGTATGGCTCTATAGAAATGATGGCACGTGTATTTTAATTCCGTTAACTTCAGTCACACAATGTTTAATGTGTTCAACAATCTCCGTTCTTCTGTTTGTGGTGGGACAATCCCTTAGGTATTAACATTCTGGAAATTAAATGACATTGCTAATGGTAATATAATATTATCTGTACATAACTCAGTTTGTTTTGTCTTCAGGAAACGCTATGTTATGATATACATGTAGTTATCGCCAAGTAATCATTTACGTCGCTATTTCATTCTCTTGTCATATTACGTACTTAAATATTTCAATACTTCAGAACCCCCCGCTTTTTGGACTGAACACATATGGATCGACACTCATAACGCTACGACGGCTGGACTTCGACTTCGCGGGGACCAAGCAATACAACGTCACGATAACAGCGAAAGTAAGAACCTACCTTTATGGATAACAACTTCTTTATCGTGTTGTTAGCATGAATAGGTCATTATACCTTTATCTTGTTTCACAGCTACATGAGGAACTCCAGCGACCCGTCGCGATACAGTGTGATAAGGAAGTTGTTATCTATACCCTTTGTCTAAGGTACATATTTAGGATATATATGATATTATGTTGTCAAAGAGTTGTCTTATTCAGCTGACCTGGCGTTATGTTTCAGGAAAATATCCAAAATGGGCTCAATAGTACCGCACTGCTGATAATAAATGTTCTGGACGGAGATGACCTTAACCCGAGATTCGAACACCCGCTGTATAATGCCACGATCAACGAAGGGGTAGGTCGGAACTTGCATATATCCACTGTAGAACTTAAACACCAGACATGATTTCAGCATGTGAGTGATGTGAAGACGAACTATGAACATCGCATAATGAAACCCTAATTTGTTCGTGAAGAGCTATAGTTGGCTGTCTCAGGCGACGCGAGGCCCAGCTGCACACGACACTGTACCTTGCAGTATTCTTATGTTGTGCCGTGGTCATGGTTGGAATGCCTGTAAACAGTATAACTCTGCTTAAACGACCTGCCTCTTTGGGGGATTTTCTCGTTAGGTGGACACGCTGAGTTATTGATAAAATAATTGGTTGGTTTGTTGTTTAACGCCACACTCAGCAATATTCCAGCTATATGACGGCGGCCTGGACCAGACAATCCAGTGATCAGCGTCATGAGCATCGATTGAGATACGATGACATGACAAAAGAACGTTCAATAGAAACACACGCACGCACGCACGCGCACACACACACTCACTCACGATATGAGTTGTGTACTGTTATAGACCTACAGAGACTTTGTTCTGGACGCGGGTATACGAGCAAAGGACGAGGACACGGGGCTGTCTGCAGCTATAGAGTACAACATCACTAATGGTAAGTTCACCACGAAAACACATGTTGTGGATACTGTCACGTACGGGGTAATAGGTTTATTTGTTTGGTTTAAATAGTTTAAGTGACGTCTTTTTCCGCAATATTCAAGCCATGTGATGTCAGCCTGTGAATAATCGAGTCCAGACTAGAAAAACCAGGGGTTGATATTGCGAACACCCTTAACGTGGTCGTGGTAGAATGCTATCAGCGACATCCCACTGTAATGCATGAGTTCCCGGGGACCTCTAGTAACCTGTAACCCTCAAGGGTCTAGCGAACAGGTGAAAAAATCCCAGGGATGCATATATCTACCTTAATATTTGTGTATCAAAACACTTAAATGATTTTGAGGAACATCATGGACAGTTTTCTCTCAATATAACAGAAAAACATTCTCACAATTTGTAAGTGTTACAGCACTCAAACCAAAGTAGATCTGTAAATACACGATTCTGTAAAGCATACACAGATACCCAGATAGCATTCAGACGTTGGCCCAATGTTGGCAATGGTTTTGCCAACATTGCCAACGTTGGGCCAACGTCTGAATGCTATCTGGGTATGTGTTTTACGACTTATTCTAGCCCGGGTCCCTCACCATACAGCTGTCAGCTACTGTTAAAGCGACGTCAAACCAAAATAACTCTATGTAATTCTTCACAGCATCGCCAGGCAGTCCGTTCACCATACTCAACAATGGAAGCCTGGTGGTTAATGGAAACCTACAACCAGAGACCACATACACCATCAACATCAAGGTAGATTCCACGTTCATCATCGATATGAAGATTCTAACAAATAAGTCCTTACTTATACAGTGAAACCTGCCAACACCGGCACCTGTCTAATCCGGCACTGTCAAAACCGATATAAAAATTTGGTCCCGCCATTTTACAACGATATTATGATCATTAAAACATTGTCTAATCCGGCACCTGCCTATTCCGTATTCTGGGACGACTTTCTGGTCCCAACAAGCGAATTTAACTATAATTAACACTGTCTAAACCGGCATGGGTGTGAGCAGTCCAATCAAGGACCCAATACACTCCTCCTCTTGTAATCAACATCACGGTAGGGAACAATATGGGAACAATATGGAAGTCACCTATATCATTAGCCTCCAGGTAGGGTCACTCAGACCACATATACCACCAACATCAAGGTAGGGTCACTCTGACCGCATATACCACCAACATCAAGGTAGGGTCACTCAGACCACATGTACCACCAACATCAAGGTAGGGTCACTCAGACCTCATATACCACCAACATCAAGGTAGGGTCACTCAGACCGCATATACCACCAACATCAAGGTAGGGTCACTCTGACCGCATATACCACCAACATCAAGGTAGGGTCACTCAGACCACATGTACCACCAACATCAAGGTAGGGTCACTCAGGCCACATGTACCACCAACATCAAGGTAGGGTCACTCAGACCTCATATACCACCAACATCAAGGTAGGGTCACTCAGACCACATGTACTAACATCATTAAAGTTCGGTCATTCAGGCAACATATACCACCAACATCAAGGTAGGGTCACTCAACCACATGTACTAACTACATTAAGGTAGGGTCACTCAGACCTCATATACCACCAACATCAAGGTAGGGTCACTCAGACCTCACATACCACCAACATCAAGGTAGGGTCTCTAAGACCTCATATACCAACAGCATCAAGGTAGGGTCACTCAGACCACATATACCAACAACATCAAGGTAGGGTCACTCAGACCACATATACCAACAACATCAAGGTAGGGTCACTCAGACCCATATACCACCAACATCAAGGTAGGGTCACTCAGACCACATATACCACCAACATCAAGGTAGGGTCACTCAGACCACATATACCACCAACATCAAGGTAGGGTCACTCAGACCTCACATACCACCAACATCAAGGTAGGGTCACGCAGACCACATATACGAACAACATTAAGGTAGGGTCACTCAGACCACATATACCACCAACATCAAGGTAGGGTCACTCTGACCATATATAATAACAACATCAAGGTAGGGTCACTCAGACCTCATATACCAACAGCATCAAGGTAGGGTCACTCAGCCATATGTACTAACTGCATTAAGGTATGGTCTCTAAGACCTCATATACCACCAACATCAAGGTAGGGTCAATCAGACCACATATACCAACAAGATCAAGGTAGGGTCACTCAGATCACATATACCACCAACATCAAGATAGGGTCACTCAGACCACATATACCACCAACATCAAGGTAGGGTCACTCAGACCACATATACCACCAACATTAAGGTAGGGTCACTCAGACGACATATACCACCAACATTAAGATAGGGTCACTCAGACCTTATATACCACCAACATCAAGATAGGGTCACTCAGACCACATATACCACCAACATCAAGGTAGGGTCACTCAGACCTCAAATACCACAACCAACATCAAGGTAGGGTCACTCAGACCACATATACCACCAACATCAAGGTAGGGTCACTCAGACCTCATATACCACAAACATCAAGATAGGGTCACTCAGACCACATATACCACCAACATCAATGTAGGGTCACTCAGCCCACATATACCACCAACATCCAGGTATTAGGGTCACTCAGACCACACAACACCACATATACTATCTACATACACCATACGTTCAACGTACATTTTCTATTTAACCAAGGGGTTTCAAACCAATCGACCAGAAGAACGCTACGACGACGCTGTTGTGCTGGTGACTGTTGTAGACGTCAATGATCACGCTCCTGTGATGTCAGCGTCATCGTATACAGCCATTCTGACGGAAAACTCCCTTCCCGGCACCGTCGTCATCGGCGTCAACGCGACAGATGACGACTACGTGAGTAATACGGTGTAATACGCAAACACCTCCATAGCAATGCTGAACGTAGCACGGTTTAACCTAGTACAGTGTGGTATTCTGTCCAGATGAAATTATAGGTAGTCAGTTTCATGTGTAACGGATAGGACAAGGAGATACACATGAAAAATATATTAAATGAATTTGATACTAACTGTCCGTACTAAGAAATCTTTATAAGGAGTGTTGCTACTTGTATGTATAATATACTGTTGATAACGAACAGTTTTTGCCTTTGGTAATAATGTCACTGCAACCGCTGGCTGATAGGGTGTTCCTTCGTCATGTTTTGGGTATAGCTTATCTGGTTGGTTCTTGTTCCAAAATCATATTCGTGACCATTGACGGACAATGAATGTAAATGAATGTTTTCACAACTTTTTTGCCGGATCGTGGTCCATGAACCCATTAATTAAGCGAAAACACAGTAAACGCCCTTTTATCTCCAAGATATAATATCCATACATGGTATGTGTTATTTATTCTTGTCATATCAATTTCGTGGACTTTGTCTTGCATATTTGGGCACTTATAAGACAAACGTCCGTAGGACTACACAATAACCAGAACTTATTGCCCTGCAATTTTGACTGGATGAATAACCAAGTATTTAGAACCATGAATTGGATTCTGATTGTGACAAATACATTTCTTCGTTTCGCGTCCATAAACGGCATGTTTGGATCTCAGTGACATGTGTATGTACGTCTTGCGTAAAGGAGATGTACAACTTGTAGTGACAAGTCGTATCGAGATAAGATTTCAAAAGAAGATTCTATCATTTCTTGAGATGATGAAGTCAGAAACATGTTTTCTTTCAAATATTTTCACATTACATTAAATAATACTGTTCAGTGTTATCTTTCTCTTTTATTTATAATTTAGTTGTATAGGTCAAAACAAGCTGATAAGATTCATTAAAAGTTTGCTTCCACGTGTCAGAGCATATTTCCCATATATATTCTGTATTGATTAAATTTTCATAATTGAATACCCAATAGTATACCCATGTTTCAACATAATTGTTTATGGTTTGTCCATTTTGCTTGCTTGTTGTTTAACGCCATACTTAGCAGTCGTACAGCAACTTTGTGGCGACCTGTAAATGAAAGAGTGTGTCCTGACAATCGAGTGATTGATATCATCAACAACGACCCCCTCCGTTTGGGTACATGAGGTAGTGACGTGACTTGCCCATCCGATACATTTTGTCACCCCTTTAGAGAAGGAAACGTTTCTGGGGATCATGTCTCATCCTGAAATCTGAAATGAACAGTATCTGTATATAGAGTGCAATCATGATGCTGTTACTGATGTCATATGTTGTACCATTACAGGGTTACAACGCCGCCTTTGTCTACCACTTCACCAACACGTCAGTGCCTTTTGAAATAGACACCGAGGGGGACATCGGGATGGTGAGAGTCAGAACAGGAGCCACCATAGACAGAGAAAAGCAAGACCAGTATCTGCTGGAGGTGAGCTTCATTGCCATCATAATCTCTTTTTCGAATCCCAAATTTGTACACTTTGTGACTTTGATGTGACAGTGTCGTAGCAATTGTAATCTAAACCAAACATTGGACTTGCTCCACGTTCTTCTTTCTCTCCAACAGGCTGGCCTAACGTGAGTTACCTGTCACACTAGTCTCAGCATAGTTAATCCAACACATTTAGGCCGATTCCCAAAGTAGTTAATGTTTTAATTCTTAAACTTATTCCGTCAGCGATTATGCGTATTTCTTACAGGGAAATGTCAGAAGTCAATAAGTCGGCCTAATGACGTAATGGTAAAAAGTGACGTCACGACAATTATCATATTCAATTTTCAGGTTCACTTTTTTTCACTCCGTAATGATAAAAATATTTGACACATCCACTACATCTGTTTCCCTTTGAGTGCGATTCGACTGATGACATACCCCCCCCCCCAATGAAATAACATAAAATAAAAAATAAAAAAGCCAAAAACACACAACAAAAGCACCCAATAAAACTGCACCAAGAGAGACAATCTGTCAGAAGAGCCATGAGGATGGGGGAAGTCACTTCCCGAACAAATCGGAATGGCGAAAACATCCAGGGTTCCAGTCATGATGGAATGATGACTTAAGTTACAGCTGACCTGCCAGCTTTCAGAACAGATCAGGCACACAGATATAAATAAAAAACACTATGCTTCAACCCTGAACACCCCTCCCCAGATTATAGGTGTTTTGTATTTAATTACATATACATGACAGTTCTATACCACTGATATAAAATTATTAGCACTAATCTATGTCATGTCATAAATGTTTGCTAGTATCATTTTATTGTTTTCTTCAGATATACGCTGAGGAGGTGTTCACCTCCGAGAGGTTCAGGAGCGGCAACAGCACCTTACTCATCACCGTGGAAGACGTCAACGACAATAGCCCCACCTTTAACAGCCCCAGTTACAGCTTCTCCATCGACAAAAACGACACCATCGGCACAACTGTGGGCTGGGTAGGGCAAACATTACTACATTGTCATTCAGGAGTAATTAACTGTTTGTATTTGGGCGTATACATCTAAACACAGGGGTTTGAAACATAGACAATGACAATTTATTCAGTATGGAGGCCACATGGCCTAAAGTACATTTAATATACAGGAATACAGTGCACAGCGGTGTACAATGTAGAAGAACAGGATTGAGTACTGTAGAGTCGATATACTCAGACGGGCAAGTTTTGTTTCAGGTAAATACTTAAAGCTAGTATGTGATCCTCGTCAATTGATGTCAACAACTGATAATATTTAGCATGTGATGGTTTAACATGATAGTAGGATGGAATAATCTTCTTGCGGCTTTCAGAATAATAGGGACAGATAAGCAGAAAATGATACTCATCCTCAATTTGCTGTAATTGGCACTTAGTGCATACTAACATTCTTCTCTGGGCAGTTTTGTCAAACCGATACTGTTGAATATTTAACTTATGTGAAAGACAACGAAACTTACGTAGAATTCTTCATAGAATCGTGTTTGTCAGCAAGTGAGGATACGTATTTCTCAGGAGTTAACAATGATTTCAACTCAGAGTATGCACCCATGAAGTGTGAATTACTAATCTTAAAGTGCCAATCTTGAAACAAAATATCTTTGCTACGTTGTTGAAATTGCTGAATAAATATGTCAATATGACCACAATCCTGGTCGGGCGATCCAAACATATGAAAATCCGGTGTACCAACGTAATAATCTAACTCTTGACACCCAATTTGTTTTCCCATTTTCATCGTATACCTTAAGCATCTCATAACAGGCCTTTGGATATCTACTAGATTCCATACATAACAGTCGACACCAGTACTTGATACAGCGAGTATAATATCTCACACAAAGCGGGTATCTGCCTGTCTCACCGAGGATGGCATTTGTTGATACTATCTTACTGATACCTATAAATCTCTTATAGAAGTTTCCTTGTACTCTTTGAAACATAGAATCCGGTATGAAAATGAAGAAGTGCAACTGACGGCCATGTCTTTTGTTACAGGTGAATGCTTCTGATCCTGATGCGGGTAACAATGGGATAGTGAAGTACTCCATCCAGCATATAACGTCACCTATATTCAAACTTAACCCAGATACAGGGGAGATAACTGTGAACTATACACTAGGCGATGACTATGTTGGACAAGTGTATATCGCAATCACGGCGGAGGATCAGGGACCGCCGTCAGATAGAAGGTTTGAATGTGCTTCATTGTATGGAATGGAATGGTACTACATGTATGTTGTCATAGAATCGACGTTTTGAATACAGTGTAATTATCATAGCTATCTCCGTAAACTCTAAGACACAAGACCTTGTACGTTGTACGTGTGTGGCAGGCAACAAGACGTGTATTTTAGAAGGCCTTAACAAGGCTCAAGGCTATTTAGTCCTCCAAGTGCCAGTCCGTGTTTTAAATGGTGCAAAAGGCTTGGTATGGATTGAACGACTTATGTCGATGCTGCTTGGTATGCCAAATATACAAAGCCCAACACCCCTTTGACTTCAGATGCCGTTTCCAGTGTTCCAGTGTTCTGACTTGTGTTGACTTTTCATATGTCTCTGCCTCGTGTTCTGCGTATATCAAAATCTTAGCAATAATGTATTTCAGAACGTCTGTAGCAAGCGTGGTTGTTGTCATCAATGACGTGGACCTATACGCCCCCGTATTTGACTCGCCAACATACGACCGCACTGTCCCTGAAGATACATCAATAAACTCCTTGCTCATGCAGATTATTGTGAGTGTTAATGACATTCTATATTTACTGACTTTTTGTTAAATGTCTTAAGTCTGTGAACTGCGAATACCTGAATATATATGACTATGACATAGTTTGATTACTAGGAATGTGTAATTTCAATACTTAGTTGACTACAACTGTCTGATTTTTTTGCTGTGTGCCATCGATCATAATTTTCACTCCGACCTGAAATATTGATTAAGTTTTCTGTCCCTACTAATTTTGATATTCATGCCGTGGTGTGATAGAAAAGATACTCATGGCACAGCACTGTCAGAAAATGTCCAGATCAGCTGGATCTTTCTTCAGTCACATGTATTTTAACCTTGTGTGATCTACGGCATAGGTTAATATTGAAACTATGGGCTTCAAGATTTAATATAATGTGCCACAGAATGGGTAAAACACATTTTTTCTCCCGTCCACTCTCCTGCTGGTTTAGGCTGAAGATCGGAAACACATAAATGGATGGGCTCATACAACTTTTGCTTTTTACTTGGCAGGCTCGTGACCGCGACAGTGGCGACAGTGTCACCTACACGGTGATCAGCGGAGACGACAACAACACTTTCAGCCTGGACTCAAGCAGGTTCGTGCTCTGCAATAACAGTGTCATTTCTGGTAGAGACTGCAGATATTTGTTCTGGAATCGTTTAAGGTTAAGCCATTTTTTGCATATTTAAAGGAGAGACCCAATACTTTTTCCGGGAACTCCAAAACACATTATGTTTAAGTAACAAATTATTTGATTTCAATAATTGTAGGAACATGTCTGAAAACAATGGTCGTCCCCTAAAGAACATTGTGTTTATTCGTTTTAATGAAATAGACGGAAAAACAACTGTCACTGTGCGCTACATTCAGATCCTTTATGCTTTGTCGTTTTCAGTGGAGTCCTGACATTGGTCAGAAGCCTGGACAGAGAGTCGCGTGACCTGTATAACCTCACTGTACAAGCATCGGATGGCTTTAAGGTGCGTTTTAACACAAAGTCACGTACTGTTTTCGAAAAACTAAAACGCTGAGATCAGTATGTATATGTATATAAATAATGCATCTTTTAAGCGTACCTACATGCTGGTAAGCTGGTAAGGAATATAGGCAAGGCGTCTTGTCTACTAGTTGCAATGCATCGGGGCGTTTTCATGGGTTTTGTGATACAGGATATTTCTCTCTTTGTTGATGAAACCAAACACATCTTACAAGAAAACCTGCATACCTAGTTACGAATTCAGAAAATGAAAACGATTTTCCGAAACAAATACTGTTTTCAAGGAAATCCAGGTAAACATTCCCTACCCTTAGCCTATGACCCCGCCCAAAGAATATCAAATGGTTGGTACCTAAGTGTGTTGGCTTCTCCAGAGTTCCGACGCTACAGTCAACATAACTGTGGGCGACGTGAACGACAACAGCCCGAGGTTCGACAACATCTCCTACACATTCTCTGTGTCTGAGGACATAGGAGTAGGCCAAGACATTGGCTTTGTGAGGGTAAGAACTGACGTAAACTTTAATCCTTTGGAACAGTAGTTCTTTTCTTGTTCATGATGCACCAGACACATTACTTGTGTTATTTGGAGAATGCAGCTAACGGATTAGCTACATAAGGTAATTTTAAAAAGTGAACACTTTGGGTCGCCTCCACATTGTTATATCATAAAATCAAAATGTGATAATTGCTCTGTTTAGCCTCTAGGTTACCACACAGAAAGTCCACGGATCACACAGAAATACTGAAACGTTTGTACCTTCTGAAGAGTGTAGGGATCATATGAGCTAATTATTCGAGCACAGCCCTCCTCCTTCGTACAATGCGAGTCAGTATATTACCGTACACCCCGTTACTGTCATAGATTGCTTTTATGGGTTCCTCATAGTGGTATTGTTTGAAATATCTCAATATAATTATTGAACTAATCCTATAGTAATACACTATAAACGTTCATCTTCCACATGTCTGGACCCTGTATTAAGAGTTTATTGTTAACTGGGGAGTACAAAGTAGAAAGACGCGCTTTAACATTCAGCTCGTAAATCCGTACAACTCCGATGTGAACATGTACATATGTAACATATACGTGTCGAGGTTTGGAACCTTTCCGTTTCTTGGCCGGCCTCTCCTAGTGTTCTGTATCACACAGTATATTGTCGCACGAACGACTTCTTGTTAGCATCTACCACGTTATCAAGGGGCGAATGTATTAATTATCATCTTTATCTTCTTTTAGGCCACGGATGCCGACACAGGGGCCAACAAAGATGTAACGTACTCTCTCCTGCTGGAGGCGTAAGTCGTTGTCCGTTTGATGTCTTCAAAGCATTCATACAAATATTGAATTAAAATCTCACAATATGCTCCATTTGTATTTGCTAATACAATGGTTGTTATATATAGAACATTCGAGGAACATTCATATACTGAGAGAAAATAATATGGGATCAGATGAAAGCACAAGTGTTCCTTTATTTGTTTCCAGGTTTCTTCACAAGTTGTACGATACAACGCTATGCGATACAACGCTTGTGAAGAAACCTGGAAACAAATAAAAGAACACTTGTGCTTTCATGTGATCCCTTTTTTTTTTCCCTCAGTATATTATCAGACATAACAATGTAAATTGGTATACGCTTTATTACATGATGATATTGACTGTGAATGATCAGTCATCTTAAAAGTTATAGCCTCTTGTATTTACGAGTACTATCAGAAAAGGTCAACTGTGACATTTATACCCAAATAATTATAGGGAAATACAAAGTAGAATTAAGAAATATAGTTTATATAGAAGTATTTTTCATGCAACCATCCTGCTTTAAATATGCTAATGCATGACTTGTACACAATTTACAAGTCACATGTTGGTGCGACACGTCTTTGCCTATCGTGCAAATTAGACTGAATGGTCAATAAAATTAGTATATTTTCAACACAATACTACGTTTTCCATTCACAGGACACAAGTAGCATCATTTCAAATTAACAGCAGTTCAGGGGAGGTCACCACAACGCGAGATCTCGATTACGAGAACGAGACTAACCACGTGCTGTTGGTCAGCGCTGCGGATCATGGTGACCCCTCTCGCTCTACCACTGTCACCGTCAACGTCGTCGTGATTGACGTCAATGACAACAGCCCCAAATTCGTGTCGACCACAGACAGCATAACAGTTAAAGAGGGCATCCAACCCAACTCCCTATACACAGCTGTGGTAAGGCTATTCGCTGATGATATAAGGACAAATACACTGCGTCTTGTACGTAAATACATTTCTGTGCGAGAAATAGTAGAAAAAATACCAAGCACGGGTCCATAACATATTACGCTTTTTTTTATATATATATAAACTCACTTCCACCGACACGTTTGATTTTCTGGCTGTGTCTCTGTGTACCCATCACGTACCGTTATGAAACAGTTGCATCAAGTTCGGTGACATATTCTAATTCATCAACACCCGTTTTTACATTACTTTTTTCATTTATTCCACTTTCTTTCAGTGTTGCATTCAGTCAGTATGTCTATTGTATCATCGCGTCATCATTTGTACAATTATCAGCTCCTGCGCTTGTGACGCCAGTATATACTGACGGGAAAAAGAAAATACACACCCGTGTTTGATAATGACACAAATTATTTATTTGATAGTTATGTATTTGATTTGTCGTGGTTTGTGTTCAGTGACTTTTTAAAAACATAAATAACAAATAAATGATTTCACGTGAGTCTGCCACAGAATGACAAGGGGTTTATAACGGTAATGTTGGTTTTACACAGGCTCATGACTCCGACTCTGGTGACAACAAGGTTATTGAGTACAGGAGGACTGGCGGCTCGGACAAGTTCGAGGTGATGATGAATGGAAGCATCAGAGCTACGCAGTCACTTGACGTCGGTAACTACAACGTCACCGTCACTGCCTACAACATCCGCCCGTACGTCAGCTGTAGCAGCTGTGACAACGCCACCCTCACCGTCAGCATACATGTTTCTGTGAGTAACGTGACTCAAGCCTTCTGTGACATACAGGCTCGGATATAAGATATAACCGATCAGATATAACAGAGATCAACCATTACGAAGAATATTCTAGGTTCTTTAATGTCGGTCAATTGTTAAGTCCAGATATACATAGAACGAAGACTAAAGTTCCAAGACTTTGAGTACATTTACATGTGTACAGAATATAACTAAAAGTGGCTGTAGGGTGTTTTTGAACATATTGGATTTAGCGTGGTTCTGACAGTAATCCAGTTCCATCAAAGCGTATTAGCCTGCTGTGGGAGAAAAGTCTGACGTAAAGCAGATAATGAACCTTTACCGTTCTGTTGAAACCCACGAACACACGTTTTGTGTTAACAAAACTATAAACATAATGGGATGTGGAATCGGGATTCCAACCGATAATCTGGCGAATTGTGTCGCCTGACATGCAGGATCGGCTTGTGCTGCATACACGCTTCACAGCGGTCATTTATTTGCCGGAAGAGAAATTGCCCTTTTTCTATCATGAGTTCGTAGGTTTCATTATTGTCTGTGTCACATTGGACTCCTTCCTACATCTGTCTGACATGCAGTGATGTAACTGAAGTACTGTCACAGCGGTTTAAACCAAACCAGAGGTCACATCTGTTTGTGTAACTGTGTACGTGAAGATGTCATATGTCCCCAGGATGTCAACAACCATCCCCCACGGTTTAACCAGACAGCTTACACTGCCACGATCAGAGAAGGGCGAGTTGACAACCCGGTACTCAGGTAAAGCAGTACATTCCAGAATCACTGCATCAATGTAGCATATATTTTAACAAACACACCATAGACTGCCTTAAGCATTTATTCATCGATTGTTTCGGTGGTGATAGTTCTAGATGTGTTTATCTAAATAATGATTGAAATACGTACTTAACGAGTTCCATTTCGAGATATCATCGTATGTATTTATAAATATAATAGAATTCATTTGAGACATGATCAGCATATTTCTGTTTGTCGTTCTTTGATATCTTGATGAAGTGCCAGTTATAATTTCTTTTTGGATAAGGTGACAGGTATACGGGGTTCTGTTTGATACTTGACGAAAAACTAAAACATATTCTGGCGTGGCATATGTATTCTTGGATTGACTAGCTCCCCAGTATCCTATTCTTGATCACAGGTTTGTTTGGTCAAGATTGGATTGTTTACAGCCCGCCGTCACATAAGTGGAATTTGGGACCGGCACAATTAACAAACTCATAGTCCTAATATTGGTATGGGTTATTGTTAAATTGAACACGACATGTCATTGCGTGTATTGTCATATTATCAGGTTTGTATTAAGTAACGCTGTGCCACGTTTCAGAGTGTTTGCATCTGACGCCGACACCGACAGCAACTTCAACAGCATCACCTACAGCGTGGTAGAAGCCGCCATCAGGGACAGGATTTACCTCTCCCCCACTACAGGGGAGGTGTATATCTTCTATGACGTCGACTACGACCCCCCAGCATCTGTCCATCTAATCAACTTTACGGTATGACAGCGTTATCATATCGTTTTGCTACTTCGAGTGGCGGTGGGGTAGCCTAGTGGTTAAAGCGTTCGCTCCAGTGATTCTGGCAGGACGGCAGGTCCCTTAGATGACTGGGCTATTGTCACCTATTTTGAGTCAATTGCGTAGATCGATGCTCATGCTGTTGATCACTGCATTGTCTTGTCCAGACTCAATTATTTACAGACCGCCGCTATATTGCTGGAATATTGGGGTGGGGCGCAGAACTAAACTCACTCACCCATTCTATTTTGAGTAAAAATATTTTGATTTTTTTTGTCTTGGCTTGACCCATGCTTTATCATTTTGGATTTACATTCTGACAAGGTCGAGGCCAGTAACACAGCCGACGCCAGCAGCACCGACTCAGCTCAAGTTACTATCTACGTCGATGACGCCAATGACAACACCCCTACGTTTGACAATTGTGAGCTACTTGTTAATTTGATTAGTTTGTCCCTTGAGATTTATTTTTTACACATTAGTTTGCAAGTCATGGTTAAGATCTTGGATCCCCTTACGACTTGGAACAGTATTAAACGAATATTTCATCAATTATGTTAGCGATTGGTCACACTTTCTTTCTATACGCTATGTGTCATGTGTTAGTATGATGTGAATTAAGGTAGTGCACCAATGGGAAGGATTTCAGTCAATGTACTAATGTGAGGGGGTTCTATCTTAATAAATGTTCTGTTGGTTCAGAAATCAGTTTGAAAACTGAAAGAAAATAGGTAAGGGTTTGACTAAATGGGATGACTTGTTACAAAGTAAAATTAGATTAGAATGCTAGGCAGCAATACCCGAGTATAGATGTCTGTGTGTTTCAGCCGTGTACACGTGCGCTGTTTACGAGAACGCGACGACAGGAACGACGTTCGGCTGTAACACGAACGCCACTGACGTTGACTCTGGTAACAATGGAGTTTTGGTTTACGCTATTGTTCAGCCATCGAACGCTGTAAGTATCTCCTGAGTTCTCAAATTGTAACTTCTCAGATGTTCGTTTTCTATCTTTCGTTTTTATTTAAAGATTTACAATCCTGTACATTTCAAACTTATCTTAAAAATACCCTTTCAGTGTTTTCTGTCAGTTAATTTTACTGCTGTAAATTCTTCAGCGAGTGAATGAATCATACTTAACGCCGTTTCCGAAAAAGTAAAAGATTTTTCTTGGTTAATAAAACGGGTAATTCCAGAACGTTTGAAAGTACACTGAAACTCTTTCTTTTTAGCCCTTAAGTGTTGACCCTAGCAGTGGTCAAGTGTCAGTGTCCGGCAGTCTGGACTACGAGGCCATCACCACTTACAGGGTCAGTATCCGCGTGACTGACCAGGGCGTGCCTCCCAGATCAAGGTACATACTCTGGTGTTCTGTGGCGCGAAACAAAAATGTGGGCATGTTTCTTTTTATTGTGTGATTTCAGAAGAACAACGTAACAAATGAAAAAAACTCTTTTAATTTGGTGCTTAGGATGTGACTTTAAAGAAACGTATTCCCCCCAATATATCACTCAGTGTGAATTCAAATCATGCTTTATCCCCATTTATAACAGATCTGCTACTTCTCTCTGTGCATGTAGATCTATCCAGAGAACCTAAGTAATCTTTGACTGTCAGAGCTAAAACAATTTGGCCGGATTCTTCAGCCAGTCTGATGTCATCTTTCTGAAACGTTGGTGCTGTTATAAAATTTATTATTAATGATGGCAAATTGTTAAAACATCGTTTTACCTATAATGACATTTAATATTCATATTTATCAAAGATTTACATTTATGCATGCATTTGGGGCGATGGGGTAGCCTAGTGGTTAAAGCGTGCGCTCGTCACGCTGAAGATTCCCGCATGGGTACAATGTGTGAAGCCCATTTCTGGTGTCCCCCGATAAGATATTGGTGAAATATTGATAAAGGCGGCGTAAAACCATAATCACTCACTCGCATATGCTTGCATGTGTAATGATATTTCATTGACACTAAAACGTTGATGACAACTAATGTGTTTGTCTTTTACAGCGTTAGCATGTACGGAAGAAATCGGTGGAAATCTGTCAGTTCTCTTTCGAAAGCCTTTCTATTTCAGTAAATGTAATACAGAGCTGATTTAAGTAAAGCCTTGGGATACAATATGTCAAACTGTCTGTTTCAGTACCTGTCAAGTTGTGGTTGATATTCTGGACGTCAACGACAACCCGCCCGTTTTTACCTCTACACCATACAACTTCTCCATCCCGGAGACGTCACCAAAGGCGTCATTCGTAGGGACGTTGACCGCGACTGACCGTGATACCAACACGAACCTGACCTTCACCTTGCTCAGCCACACTGATCGTAAGACCCAGTCTGTTATAACATACATTTAGGAACGCACATGTAAACAGTATCTTGTGTTTTAAGTGTTTGATATTGATTGCCTGTAAGACCTGCTTCCCTTATTGGCTTGTGGGGGCACGACGACTGATGTAGTCACTGTTCAAGTACGTGAGGAAAGTTAGATGTCCGTGCGACTTCTCACTCCATGTTATACATTAGGATACGTAAATGCCGTTCTCGGAAGCGGTGGGGTAGCCTAGTGGTTAAGGCGTTCGCTCATCACACCGAAAATCCGGGTTCGATTCCCCACATGGGTACAATGTGTGAAGCCCATTTCCGGTTTTCCCCTGCCGTGATATTGCTGGAATATTGCTTAAAACGGCGTAAAACCACTCACCACTGAAATCATCCGGTTTGACAAGTGATCCGATGAAACCCTCATTGCTTTAGAGTACATGTATACACTGTGTATATGTGTACGGTACCTATCCGGATTATCAGGATTGCACTCTATTCAGTTTACACGTTTACAAGTAATACGTTGTTGCGTATTTTAAAATACACTGGAATAGTATACATTTCTCTGGAACCATTGCAGACTGTTTCTGAACTATTATGTTACACATTTAGCCATTTGAGGTCAGATATTACTGTTATATTTGATTTAAATATACGCTATCATGGCCAGTTTGAGTACACCATAGAAAATGACTTGATAGTCATTCGGTATTACATCTTAATAAAACACAAATAGTATTTTGTAAATATCGATATAAAAATCAGTTGTTGAGGATAACTGAAGTTCGGAAGGGTGGGGTGGGTATGTTGACGAAATCGAGTTTTGGAATGTTTGGTATCAGTTTTACCCTTTCAGTAAGTATCACGTCGTAAGGCGGTGTCGAGTAGTGGTATAGGAGGAGTGTCTCATCGTCATAAGATGAAATGTATGCCCGGCATGGAATGACTCATCAACTGTTTTTCTTCTCTCCCAGTGTTCATCCTGCAGGACAGGGTCGACCTGAAAACTGTTGTCGTCTTCAACTGCAGCGACTACATCTCCGTCCGCGTCTCCGTCAGTGACGGCAGTCACACTGTAACCACCGACGTTACTGTGAATGTGTTGAGTGTTAATGAGCATAAGCCGGTGTTCAGAACCGGACAGGGTCTCACTGTGCTCGAAAACGCCACGATAGGCGATGTAGTAGGAACGGTAACTAACAACTACTTTTCACTACATTTGGGAAATATGAACCTGTACAATCTGTCTCATTATGGACAGGTGTTCTTTTGTACGATATTCTAGCCAGGTGTCACAACGAGTAAATTGCTGAATGTAAGTGCATCGTCATTATGTATAGACAACAGCTACAAACATATATCTCATACTCTTTAAATGCAAGTTACATGCGATTTTCATGAAATGGTATTACTATAATAACGAAAAGTAACTACTTGACAATTTATTTGTCCTATATTTGTGAAATGTTTAATCGAAAGACCCTTAAGACTTGTTAAAATGACTAGGAATAGAAAGAGAAAGTCACTGCAGGTAATATACAACGCTATTAACGTAATATCTTCATGGTCGATGTTCTTTCTCGATAGGTTGTTGGAAGAACATACACTCTCAATCAGTGTTTGCCCTTAATCCTGAAAAGCTGCAGGCCCTAAGGACCCAGAACCATAAAACGTTGATCCTGATCAGAATGTATATTTTGATATGGAAATAATACTCCTAGTTATTGGGGATGAAAAAGCTGTCGCCTGCAGAAAACAAAAGCTGTGGGTCCGAGTGGTTTTAAGTCGGCTTCGGGCCTAAGGACCGACGCTAATTTCGAACGCTGCTCTCAATAGGTTGTTGATAGAAGATACACTCTCAATAGGTTGTTGATAGAAGATACACTCTCAATAGGTTGTTGGTAGAAGATACACTCTCAATAGGTTGTTGGTAGAAGATACACTCTCAATAGGTTGTTGGTAGAAGATACACTCTCAATAGGTTGTTGGTAGAAGATACACTCTCAATAGGTTGTTGGTCGAAGATACACTCTCAATAGGTTGTTGGTAGAAGATACACTCTCAATAGGTTGTTGGTAGAAGATACACTCTCAATAGGTTGTTGGTAGAAGATACACTCTCAATAGGTTGTTGGTCGAAGATACACTCTCAATAGGTTGTTAGTAGAAGATACACTCTCAATAGATTGCTGGTAGAAGATACACTTTAAGGTTTACTTGTTGAACGTACCCCACAGATCCAAGCTGCTGATGCAGACTGCGGGCCGAACGGGGATGTGTCCTTCAGCATCATAGGCGGGAACACTAATCAAGCTTTCAAAATCGACAACTCAAATGGGGAGATAACTCTTGATGGTCAACTGGACTATGAAGGCATCAAAGAGTACAGGCTGCTGGTCCAAGCTCGAGACGGTTAGTTTATTCATGAAAGCATTTCATCAGTGCGACATCAGTTAAGGATGTGTAATTGATTGATCGGTTACCGGATGTATTTGGAGGCATCAGGAGACTTGAGGCTTCAATTTTAGTTACTTTGTTTGAGGATTATTTTTCGAAACATGAATTCTAGTCACATCTGTGAACTTTAAAGGGGCTATGATCTAGAACGTTTCATGTTTCGTGCCAACAATGTAATTACGTCGTCCAGCTGCCAGGTGGTCAGTCCCTGCTCCCTCGACCGTGACGAAGAGGGGGGGCAGAGCAGCTGTCCATCTTCGCGCACTTGTCATTACAGCCTCGTTTATATGTACACATATACCAAAAGGACACAACTTACGAAACCTCTAACGATTAATATATCTTGTTTTCTGGAATTTGCCTGTTTAATACTTCCGATTATATACTGAACAGCAAAAGAAATGTAAGTTTCGCAAAAATGAAATCTCATAAAAGTAAGCGTTCATGTTGATGGAACGTTCATGGTAAAGTGACAAAAGCCAGACTTGCGTTTCTTTTGCTGTTCAGTATATTAGTGAGTGAATGAGTGACTTCATATATTATCGAATATTCCAGCAATACTACGGCGGGGAAAACTAGAAATGGGTTTCACACATTGTACCCATGTGGGGAAATCATCTAATTATGTTAACAGTAATGGTCTATGAATTACACGATGTCATTTAAACGTTGTCACCTGTAACATATGTTATATTTAGTATCACACTTAATCAGTAAAGTACAGATTCTATTCCGGGTTATGCTTTGTTTTCTTCCGTCAGAGTAGACACTTGGAATGAACATGCTAGTTGACGAGTATACACATCAGACTGGATAGTGTGATATTGATTTAGGTGGACGTCCTCCACGCCTGAGTTTCACCACCGTCAGTGTCGCCGTAGTCGACGTTGACGACAGACCTCCTGTATTTGACAGGGTCGAGTTCACAAGTACCGTCTACGAGAACTCACCTAATGGAACGTCTATTCTCAAGGTAAACTTAATGTCTGATGCAATTGTCTATTTTGATTTATTTTACAAATATATGTTTTGTAGGGTTATTGGTTTTCAGCAGAGGATGCTTATGTAATGTTTTTGTTTTATTTTTGTTAAATGCCTCACTCAGCTATATGACGGTGGTCAGTAATTAATCCAGTCAGGACCAGACAATCCAGTGATTGACATTATGAGCATTGATAACGAAGCTGGGGTACGATGACATGTAACAACCAAGTTCATATGTAGTTTAAAGGTATTCTGGCGTTATATATTAAATATTGTATTGTTCATGGAACATGTTTACAGATTCGATGTTTTCCTGATAATATTATGAAGGTTGGCCAAACGCGATCTGTTAGGTGGTTGTTTAGTTATGTTGACAGATGGGTTCAATTGTTACATTTCAGTTGACAGCCCGTGATGTTGACACACCCAGTGGTCATCTACAGTTCGGAATAGTGTCTTCCTCACAAGGTATAACTGTCAGTACAGATGGCACATTGTCTGTTGACGGCGACCTGGACGCTGATGGTGACACTAACGTCATCGTTGCCAACGTGACAGTGACGGATGGCGCTAGAGTGGCTGAGGCTGTGGCAAGAGTCACCATCTTGGACGTCAACGACAACATCCCGGTCCTGGCCATAGGTCCAAGAAACATCTCAGTGCCTGAGAACGCCCTGGTCGGTGAGGTGATAGCCGACGTCAACGCATCTGACGCTGATCGATCCAACAACGGATTTACCTACTGGCTTACCAGGACGGACGGGAAGTTTGCCATCAACGCCTCCACAGGTGTTCTCATTGTTGATGAAGAGTTTGACCGGAGCATTCAGGATAACTACAACATAGGAATTCACGTTAGTGATCATGGAATTCCTCCCAAATTCTCTGATGGTTCTTTGACCGTTGTCATAATAGACAGCAACAACGCCCCTGTGTTCAACAAGACCGAGTTTACATTCAGTGTGTTCGAGAATGCCTCCCTAGATTCAATGGTCGGTAAAGTGGCAGCGTACGATGTCGACAGGGGATCCTCAGGTGACATTCAGTATTCCTTCATATCTGGGAATACTGACGCCGTGTTTTCAGTGGGTTCCTCCTCTGGAGAGATATCGCTCCTGAAAACCCTTGATTATGAACATAAACACAGCTATACGCTGATGGTTCAAGCTACGGACAGCTCGTATTCTCCAAAGAGTAGTACAAGCACTGTTGTTATAACTGTGCTGGATATTCCTGAAGCTCCCCAGTGGCCATTACCACTCCCTGTTGTATACATGGTAAAGACCAACTCCTGCAACAAATCAAGGCTTACGGCTTTCTCAAGAGACATCACCTCCATAACGAACAGTCCATCGGAAGTGGTGTACCGTCTTCTGAACGATACCCACGTCTTCTCGCTGGACAACACAACGGGGACGTTAACAGTCGCCGACCCTTCTCTGACCGAAGGGTCATACGTGCTAGGGTTAGAAGCCTGTAACGTTGACTACCCTGATCTGTGTACACAGGCCTCGCTGACCATTGTAGTGACCAGTTATTCAACATTGTTCTTCTGTCCTGCTTTCCTCGTGAAGAATGTAAAGGAGGATGCATCGGTTGGTTACGTCGTGGCCGACCTCAACACCACCGTCAGTGACGGCGACGTCACTTACAACATCACAGAGGGGAACACAGAGAAGAAGTTCTCCATCAATACGCTTACGGTAAGTTAAATGTTAGTCAGTTCTCGGTCATCGACACCAGTTATATGGGCAAGTTCGTGAGGTCTTGATAATGTTTGTCACTTAAGAACCCGTTATTTCTGATGCAGCTTTTTGAAACTCAGTCTACACCATCAAGTCTTAAACAATCCCTTCGCCAATAACAGTATGCACATGTTCCTTAGTCCGATGTACAGCAATATTACAGGTACACCTCAGAGGCCTGTGAACAATCGAGTCAGTACCAGATACCCTAGTGGTTGATAGTATTAACGATGCTCTATGTAACCAGGGCACGGTAACACAATCAGCCACAAGTGTAACCTCGCAATTGTATTAGTCTCTTACAACTTTCATAAGGTACAGGAATGTAGATTTAGCCAGAGTCTACACCGGAACCCATGTACATGCCTTGTTCTTAACTTTAGTGTATTTTGTTCCGTTATGTCAGGAATTTGTTATATGTCTATGAGAATTATTCATCATTTTAATGACAAATGTATATACGTTAGAGTCGGATCATCTGCCTTTTCGATAATTTGATGAATAAAGCTGATATTGTTTTGTGACTCAGGGCGTGATAACAGTGGCGGAGCGTCTGGACCGGGAGACGACAGAGCGCTATGCCCTGCTGGTTGTCGCGGGCAATGGAACTGAACTGGCACAGACGCAGGTACTTGTGTCATTGTTTCGTGGAGTCATGAAAATAAAACACTATTAGATCTTTCATCGTAGAGGTTTTTGGTAGTTGCGTGTATTTTCAACTATTTTCCTATAGCATTTACCAGTTTTGATCTAAATGTGGGCGAACACTCTAATGCATGTTAAGCATGTATTTCTGTGCCCAATGTGTACCACTAAGAACCAGCATGTACTATGGCGAGTACAATTATGTACCACCAAGTAACAAGCCCGTGCGTACCGCTGCGTACCATCATGTACTGGTCAGTGTGTAGCGGCATGCATCTTCGAGGGTCACCATACATCCATACAGACAGGGCATCTACTGAAGCAGTTTCTCTAATCTTTTCATCTTTTAATCGTTTTTGTTTAACTGATTTCTTTAATTTTACATACTTGAAAGACACGCATTTTGTTATGCTTTGCATGTCGTATAGGTCGTGGTGAAGGTGGTTGACGTACAAGACAGCGTCCCCAGGTTCCCCCTGTTCGAGTATGACGGAGAGATACTAGAGTCGTCTACCCCCGGGGACACAGTGTCGAGGAGGGGTTGGACGGGGCCCCTCGTTGTCTTGGCCCAGGATGAGGATGAGAACACAGTGGTAAGAGTCAGCGCATCTCGAAATATTTGTACGGGTTGTAATGCTCAGTCGGGGCTGTGGTGATCGCCATGTACCCAGAGCAATATTATATCAAGGCCTTACATGGTTGAATCAACTTCGACAACAGTGGGCTACTGTCTCGGACATTCTAGCTCCTAGACTCAGACTCGATGCATGCTCATAGCCATTTACTTAATGTTTAATGTAATAGCCACAATGAATGATCTAAGGAAAGCGAAGCAGAAACAAAATTACCCAATAATCTATCCTTACAACACAAACAGATTACTTGTGCCACAGACATGCGCTGTTTTTCAGTGTTTCACTGATACGTACCTGATTCGGAACAGAATCATTTCGTAGACTTATAATAAAGATTTGTGAAATAATGTACCTATCCTTTTCTCAAATATTTTTTTCAGAACTTCAATGGTGTTTTTAGAATTTTGATTGTGTTTTTGTGAACAGTAACTCTCTGGTTTGGGAAAATGTAGAGCTCTTGATATCATGTAGTACTGTTTTCAGCTTCGCTACACCATCAACGCCACCACAGACACGTCTAACGGTAGTTTTACTGTTAACGAGACAACTGGCGCCTTAACACTGGCAAGGGAAGTCGACAGAGAAGCAATGCCGGAATCACTCAATGACAGATATACATTCCAGGTGAAAATGTATTTAACATGAACGTACACAAGGTTAAAACAACTTGACGAATTGAAGTCTTAAAAAAAGGATATACTTTTTATGTAGTCCATGACGTAAGAATGTTCTTGTGACTATTAGAAAAATAATTCTGATTTTCCACAGATTGTAGCATCTGATGAAAGCAACAATGTATCCACCACCGTTGTCGTGGAAGTTAAAGACGTCAATGACAACAGCCCTCAGTTTGATATTGCTGTGCTGAACATCACCATTCCAGAGGTAAGTCCAATCTTAAGACTGTGACTCTGTATGTACACACACTCCCACTCTGTATGAACACACACTCCCACTCTGTATGTACACACACTCCCACAAGTAAGTAAGACTGTGACTCTGTATGTACACACACTCCCACAAGTAGCATATCGGAACCGATACATAGATGCCGCCGTGGTTACCAAATCTTCGGGGCCTTCGAAGTTTGGATTCCTTACATTTGTCGGGTCAGTCCTGTACGTTGGAGTAACCGTCAAAGGAGCGTTTTCGTTTGGTTTTCGTGATCATTAATTGCAGAGGCTGATGGCAGAGGCAGAGTTGAATTCCGCGTGAATTAGAAAAACTTGACATAAGTGTAGCTAATAATACAGATTAGTGAATCGACTAGAAATACAATGCAAAAAAAACCAAACAAACGAGAAAATATCCGATTGTTATTGGTTATTAAAATAAATTTCTCTTGTCAAATTTCAAATTGTTTTTACCACAGGATATCGGCGTTCGTGAAGTCATCACTAAAGTTAACGCTTCCGACGAGGACAGTATAGACCAGGGCCGACTGACCTACTGGCTGACCAGTGCAAACACAGGTAGTGCCAAACTATTTTAACGCGATATGGATCTCTTTCTTTTCCCAGTGCTCTTTTTGTTTCATTTACGCGAGATGTAATTATAAACATTATATGTTTTTCCCGCCAGATCCATTCGCGGTTAACGAATATTCAGGGGAAGTAACTGTGACTCGCCAACTCGACAGAGAGACTGTTTCCAGCTACGTTCTGGAGTTGGTTGTTCGAGATTCCAGAAGAAGAAATGTAAATACATTCGTTATATTACAATATATCCAAGTACGGATCTTGAAGTTTTCACCATGAATTTTACCTGTACTTGGTATATCATATTTTACTCAGCTATATGCCTTGACTTTAAGGACTTAAGAATTTGTAATAATAATAAGTTGTCGTTGCAGATGATTTATAATTTCAACAATTCACGTAAAATTTGTCTTTTATCAAACTGTACAGCCTCAGAAAAAAACTATAATTACTCACTCCCTTTAAAATTAGGCTGCGGTGGGGTAGCCTAGTGGTTAAAGCGTTCGCTCGTGACACTGAAGGCCCGGGTTCAACGCCCATTTCTGCTGTCCCTAGCCGTGATATTGCTGGAATATTGCTGAAGGCGGCGTAAAACCATACTCACTCACTTTCAAATTAAGGAAGCGCCAAGTGTATTGCTGAATTATATTTCAAGTGTATTGCTGAATTATATTTTTCAGAACACCATGGTCCTAAACGTCATTCTCGGTGACGTTAACGACAACACGCCGAGGTTTGATAACAGCAGCTACATCTTCGAGGTGGAGGAAGGTACGTGACATTACGAGGAAAGTATTTGAAAATAGAACAATATAACAATGCCAATCATTCCACTGAAAAGAAACCATTCTTCATCATTTTCGCGTGTGTGTGCAGGTCTCGGCGGAGTAAACACAACCACGTCAGTTTCTGCAACTGACCTTGACCTCGGCGTCAACAGTCAGCTGACCTTCAGCATTATTGGTGGGAATTCCAACAACGCTTTCAGCATTCAGACAAACGGGAAACAGGTACGTACAAGAGCGAACTATATTCATGCCGTGAATCCACGGAAACGTGTGTTGTGATTGGCCGGCAAATGCCTACATCATCGGTTTTTGGGCCCTATAATTTAAAGGTCCGGTTCCCCATTTTCCACATACAAACTTTGCCAAGGTCCAATTTCTGTGGAATTCCTTCTGCAGTGTACGTTGATGGTTGACCATGCACTGGACCGAGAGGAACCTGGGAACACTTTGACCAGAAGTGACCGAATCATTCAACTGACGCTTCAAGTCAAGGACGATGGCCCCAAACGTCAGTTATCGGTAACAGGAATTTTTTAAATGATATTTATGAGAAGTAATATTAATATATTTAATATACTAATGTAACTTATTTTCATTGGGTTATGTTTGGGAGCATTCTTGTGAAGTTTGACATTACAAAATTTCAAGAATGTATCCGTATATAGTTACATATCGTTAAGTATACAAACATCTTTAAAAAGTATACAAAAATCTTCAAAAAATATGCAAAAAGTATACAAAAATCTTCAAATAACAGCTGCCTGCGGTTTTGTTATTGTCAAGAAATGAAAAAATTTCAGTTGCAAAAATGATATTAAATTTTAACCTACTTTTGCTGTTTTTCAGAGTACCTGCATAGTATATGTGCACGTGACGGACATCAACGACAACAGCCCCACGTTTCTGAACAACGACTACGCTGGCAGCGTAATCGAGAACTCTGTAAACAACACACTGGTCACAATGGTATGACAATAAACACTGCCGTTTATGTGAGCAATGTCTGATTGGAGAATAATGGTAAAATGATAAAATGATATGTTTTAGACTAATTTACCTAAAAGACAGGACTGGAGGAGAAGTTTGTGATTTTAAAGCCACTTTGACAACAACGACAGAGAGATCACAAAACACATACCTGTTTCTTACCGAGACATTGTATAACGGGGAATAATCGGGGTGTTTATTTGAGCCAACTTATCATATACTGAGAACTTAAATTTGGCGAGCGAGGATAATTCTGACTCCTTATTCTCGGTTATATACATGCTATATCTTTACTGTTGTATCAGCCCGTGAAGATCCGCGTTAGAATTGATCTTCAGTAACCCATGCTCGTCGTAAGAGGCGATTATCGGGATCGCGTTGTCAGGCTGGCTGACTTGGTCGATTATCTACAGACCGCCGCCATATAACTGGAATATTGCTGAGTGCTTCGTAAAACTAAACTTCACTCACTGTTGTATCTAACCTACATGTTTGCTGGTTGGTACAGGTACAGGGGCTGTCAGCTACCGACCCCGACAGCGGTATTAATGGCACCGCAGGGATCAGATATGAGTTGGAGACACCAGGTGTTCCCTTTAGAATAGATAATGTCAATGGCACGGTGTTCGTCTACTACAGGAACGACACCGACAACATCGACAGGGAGAAAACGCAAGAGTATCAACTGGAGGTAACATTGTAGAAGGCAAAGACATATCATTAGGTTCCTCGTTCGAGGAAACAGTCGGACTACTTGAATTTCTCAAACGTATAGATTTTGTGTCGGTTTACTGATTTTGCGAAATTGTTTAAGAAATGTTTTTTCGGCGCCTTAAAGTTAATGTGTTTTGTCATTTGCGGTTAACAACATGTGCAAATGATGGCTCTTTTTCACAATATACTATTAATTAATATGTATTTGATTACTTATTATAACTTATATAAATTTAGGTATATGAAATATGATTTCATAATAATGTTTTACAGTGTCCCTCGAGGATAATATATTAATAGATTTACAAATGTACTTTACTACTACTACTACTACTACTACTACTACTACTCCTGCTGCTGCTATTTAATTAACTGTCGTAAACATACATGTGTTTCGTTTAAACACATCTGGGTCTCAGCTTTAGACACCACCCCGATAACCCTGTTATTGGATTCCCCAGGTCGCTGCAGTGGATGATGATGGCAATGGTAGACGCACCGTCACAAACTTCACTGTAACAATCACCGACGTCAACGACGTCACGCCAGTCTTTGGACAGCCTCAATACAGCTTCAGTGTGTCGGAGGCAGCGCCGTTGTCGTTCAGCGTCGGGGAGGTCGTGGCTTCTGACAGCGACGTTGGCACGACGCTCACTTACAACATTGTTAGTGGGGCCGAGTCAAGATTCTACATCAAAGACTCGCGTAATGGTACGGGAGAATATTTGTTCATTAGATGTTTGGTTTGGTCGAAATGGACATCTTTGCTTTTTCCAACTTATTATTTGCTCTCTCTATTGTCTAGTTGTTGTGAGGTAATCTGAGGTTTAAAGTCGCGTTGTAGATTATTGCACGTATATAGCGAAGAAAAGCTTGTGTGTGTGTCCGGGCACATGCATGTTGTTTTCTGTTTGACTAGTCCACATCTTCGCTGGGTTAATAGTGATAGGGCACTAAGATATACCACTTATAACATGGATACCCAACTCCAACCCTCCTATAATAGTTTCATTTCCTCAACACCGAGCGTCAGGCAGAGTAACAACAGGTGCCATCTTTCAACGTGACACGGACAGGGGATCGACATTTTCGCATAGAAAAGTAAATTGTAAAGTGAGGAAAACTGTCAAAAACACAAAACTATGGGTGGTCTTTCACCGACTTGCCTTTTATATGGACCAGAGCCTTTCCCGGTGGGAGCAGTGTTGGTGTTGCCTATGGAACAAACGGGATAACATCTTTGTAAAACTGTAAATAATATTTTATGCAAATTTAACAATGGAGAGTATTCACCTTTCAAGGTACGATCAGGGTCGCTGGTGGACTGGACAGGGAAGTGACCAGCGAATACAGCTTAAATGTGTCCGCCTCTGACGGCGTACACAGAGGCTACACCACTGTCAACATCACCGTGAACGACGCCAACGACAACTGCCCGGTCTTCTCGCCCCCAAACGTTAACTTTGTCATCATGGAGGACCAGGCTGTTAATATCACTGTCGGAGCGCTGCAGGCGACTGACGCTGACGTTGGTGTTAACGGAGAATTTCACTTCTTCACAAACGATACAGGTATATGAAATCAAATGTGATTAAAATAATCATTCTGACAAAATGATTTCTTCTGGGTAATTATGTTTCACCTGTTTATTTCTTTTTATTGAATGGTTTTAAACAGTTAACGCTGTTCTATCACAATAAATGTTTAGACCTAACAAAAATCTTTTATAAGGACAGTATATCTTCTACATTCCAGTTTCAATTTGGTTGAAATTGAAAAAGCGTTTCCATGGATGTTTTCTGAAATGTCCACTCAAATGTTGATATGAATGAGTTTCTGAAAACCTTTTACATGGGTGAGCCAATAATAGTGCCACTAAACTTTAACTCGTAAATCTGATAAATATTAACAGCCAAATTGAAAATGTCGGATTTGTCACTTCCTTTCGTGAATCATCTGAAAGTGTTGTAATCCAATCCAATGTGCTTCTAGACGCCCCAAAGATCATTAGGTGCGAGGTCTCTCTTCCATCTCAAGTCATGCACACTGCATTGGCTGTGGAGCTGGTTGGGTGATCCTTCTTATGACGCTTTTAGGATGACATCATATTCTGTTAAAACTTTGGCGTGAAACTTGATAAATTTACTAGCATTACATCTGCTCATTAAATCTTTGTTTATCAGTGTGTGAGTAAACGACCTTGTACATTGTTATGTCTTACTTTGATAACTTGGACAACATGGATAACTCTGTAACTGAAAAGGATATGACGTCACGATTCGTCACTTATATATGACGACTTTGATACCTGTAGATGTTAAACATAACCAGTAGGGCTACAGACACTCTACTTCGTCAGTTCTAACTACTATCAAAATGACCGCCATTTAAATATGGTCAATCAATCAAGTATGAAGATTCTTTTAAATCGAGAAAATTGTCGTTCCACAGTTGCGCAAGGAACATTTACGGTGACAGAAAACGGAAGTCTGGTAGCCATAGCCACTTTAGACCGAGAGACGACACCTGACTACGTGTTCAAGGCTTTTGCATCAGACAATGGGTCCACTCCTTGTGTGTCGTCAACTACCGTCAACGTTCGGGTTCTGGATGCCAATGACAACGACCCGATGTTCTGTCATCTCAACGTCTGTAACAATAGCGCCATCTACGCCAACATCCTTGAGAAGTCTCCCGTCGGCACCGTCGTAGCCCTTCCGCAAGTCCGAGACAATGATATTGGCCCAAACGGAGAAGTTACATTTAGTCTGACCGGAACTGGCAGCAATCTGTTCAGTATAGACTCTGAGACCGGGCTGGTCCGGATAAAAGAACAACTTGAGATAAACAGGTTGTTTCAGAGGGGAATCTTGTCTGGGAATTTCTCAAATAACGCGACCTTTGATCTTACCATCGTCGCAGTGGATCATGGGACAAATCCAAGAAGCAGCAATGTGACCTTGCACTTGTCTGTTCAAGAGATCAACGATGGCGCTCCCACCTTCAGCAACAACGTCTACAACTACACCATCCCAGAAGAAGAAAATGCAGGTGAGACAAACAGCACTGGTTTGAGTGGAACATTGTAACAACTGGTATACTCCCTAGGAAGCTGAGACGTATTCACCGGAATATTAGGATGTATTCACCGAGGTAATTGCTGTGTGTAGTTATAATAATATTATCATTGATGAATTTACGAATGTTTTAAATATGAATGCTACTCGTATCAGATTATCTGGTCGGTGACGTGGTCGCAAGTGCCAAAAACGCAACCGGTGTGACCTTCACCTACAGCATGATTGGAAGTGTCCAGGCGGAAGACCATTTTAAGATCAACGCTAACACGGTATGCCACCTTCTCAAAGACGTTATGCTATACTGCCGCTAAAAGTCACTTATACACAGTACGTTGTACGTCATATATATTACACTGGTTTGGGGATTTACCTGGGGACCCGTGAAGATCCGGGTTAGAATTGATCCATTGCTTGTCGTAAGAGGCGACTGACGGGATCAGGTGGTCAGGCTCGCTGGCTTGGTTGACACATGTCATCGGATCATAGTTGCGTAGATCGATGCTCATGTTGTTGATCACTGGATTGTCTGGTCGACACAAGACCGCCGCCATAAAGCTGGAATATTGCTGAGTGCGGCGTAAAACTAAACTCACTCACTCATTTACCTAGGCATTTAGAACTGCCCCATAAAAGTACATAATTTCACTTTTCACGTATGTATGTGACACACTGATGTTCACTGTAGCTTTGTCTGATTCCCAGGGTGCTATCAAGACGACAAAGAAGCTGGACAGAGAGACAAGGCAGCGGTACTCGTTCGCCGTGCAGGTCCGAGACGGGAGGGTGCCGGAGAGGACAGCCTATGCAGTGGTCAGTGTAACGTGAAGAGTTGTAGTTAAACATATATGTTTCAGCTCTGTAGGATACACGTCACACTGCATGTCACAGGCATTGTTTACGCGGATCTGGAGGACAAAGTAAACAAATCGTGTGGACGTTTTACATTACATGTAGTGAATTACGTAATCAATTGTTTTACTGCTCTTGTCTAATGCAGCTCATTTCGTTATGAATGCACCCCCATTTTATAAATATGCAACTACACAATCGCAAGGCCCCTTTTCCAAAAAGGAGGTATTATCGATTAAGCTACCTTTAGAAATGTGTGCATGGAATATGTCATTCCTTTACATAATTGATGTCATACAAAGGCACAGACTTAAAGGGTTAGTGCTTACAGTCAAACAAACTCACGGACCTGGTAACAGAGCTAGACCTAAGATATTTGCCTAATTGAAAGGTTTACGGTATAACGATATAGCCGACCAGACCTGTCACATTGCACCTCTCATCATGAAATGATTCTATACATATCGCCTGATAATGTATTACAGGTAATGGTGACGTTGAGTGACGCGAACGACAACGTCCCCACCTTCTCCCAACCCGTGTATAGAGTTACCGTTTCTGAGAATGCCAGTCTTCAGAATCTGACTCAGGTTACCGCCTCCGATTCGGACGCCGGTGTGAACGGCAGGGTTACATATACCCTCACAACTTCAACAGGTACAGCAGGACGGAACATCGTCAGTCTTGTTTACGTCGGTCATTCGATTGTATAACCAGAACGTTTACCTTAGCTTTCGTTAGTGTATAAAATGTATCTTCAGCGTGAAACGTTAGAGGCTCCATGGTTGTCTGAGAACATGTGTGATCACTCGTTTAGACATGTAGCCACTTGCGGGAAACACAGTACATGACGCCAACATGATACTAATGATTCTTCTAATGAGTGAGTGAGTTGGTTTTACGCCGCTTTTAGCAATATTCCAGCAACATCACGGCGGGGGACACCAGAAATGTGCTCCACACATTCTACCCATATGTGGATCGAACCCGGGCGTTCGGTGTGACGAGCGAACGCTTTAACCACTAGGCTACCCCACTCTCCCCGATTCTTCGAACGGAAAGAATTGTATCATACTTTATGACTGCCTTACTAACGAGTTCGAATATGGAGTTCCTTGTGCTTTTTTCATCATATTTCATGTGTTTATCACTCAAGTTATCATTTGTCAGGGGGTTAATATAATACTAAAGTTCATTTTTTCCACTAAGATATTTTTACACTGGATCCAACATCTGGCCAGCTGCGTCTAAACGGGTCCCTTGACAGAGAGACGCAGGCGACGTACGTCCTGACTGTCACGGTGAGTTGACAAACATGGAACTGTTGTGTTGCCATAGAAACATTATAATTACCATGTACAGATACTGACTTCGACGAATTTGTTGAGATATTAACTTAACCCTGTCTGAACCAGGCAAAGGACGGTGGCTCCGCACCATTGAATTCCACCGCACAAGTCATCGTCACTGTCTCCGACGTTAACGACAACGCCCCAACGTTCGTCAACGTCCCCTACATCGTGTACATCACAGAGAACAGTCCCCCTGGTCAGGCGGTGAGTAACCTAAATACCCAGGTATACAATACGGAGATCAGTTGTACAGTCCTTCCCATAGCCATCTGTACGCTGCATACCCATGGGTAATGTACATACGTACGTACGCACAATAGTGTACGTACGTATGTATGTCTGTAGTTCTAAAGAACAGGCTAGCTTGGAGCTTATCCATGCGTATATTAATTGCCCGGGAAATGTCACATCTCAAATACAGGTTATGGACTATATAAATATCCAGAATTAACGTAAAGCACTGGGACAAATCTATAGCTGACATATATGACGACTATCGTCAACCCAATTAAGTGCAACGTAATTAAAATCTTTGAGGAAAGAGTTTTGCCTTGTTTTGTGACAGTCAAATAGTCAACTCTTTTCTCTTGAAAACACGTGCTTTTCAAAGGTTTCCAGATATTGTTTTATTATGGATGTCATGTGTTCTGCTGTGGATGCGTAATGCTGTTGTAAGACGCTGTTTACCGTCTTCCTGTCCTCATCCAGTTGGTGGACGTTCTGGCGACAGATCCGGACGAGGGTCTGAACGGACGTGTGGTATATTTCCTCCAACCAGACACAGGAACAGATGTCTTCCAGATAGACGCGCTAGGTAATTCTCATATCGAGGGAATTGTTTCAGTTCTGTCTGTCCTTTAACAAGCTTGGTAAACTTACGTAGTTGCAATTGGATTGATGACGGCTTATTTGCTCTCAGTACATTAACTGATGCACCATCTACGCTATTTCAATGCAGTAGTTAGTCTAGTGCAATACAAGAGTGCATGAGATGCTGTTTAACAGGAATGCGTTGCAGACATATACTATTTGTATTCTACCTTGTTCAGATGGCAAAGTGGCCTCTGTGCGCTCACTGGACTTTGAACACAAAGAGGTGTATGACTTGACCGTGATCGCCAAAGATCTCGGCACTCCTTCCCTGAGCTCCAACACCACCATCACCGTCCACGTGAACGACACATACGACACCAAGCCTCAGTTCACACCCGACTTCTACTCAGTGTCTGTGTCTGTAGCAAGCCCTGTAGGGACGCCGCTAAATCTTACACTCAACGCCGGCAACGGGAACTTCTACTACACGATAACTTCCGGGAACGACGGTAACCTGTTTGATATTGTTCCCGATACCGGCGTAATGACAGTGGATGGGGATATCGTCACACAGGGCAACATACTCCTCACAGTCACGGCGTCGGATGGACGAACTCCCCCAAGTACCGACATTGCTAATGTGAGTCACATTATATAGATACTCGTTTCATCAACCATTATGATTTATGCTTTATAGCGCCCTGTCACAGCTTAACCGGGAACTCGAAAATACGTGATATTGAGGATCGAAAAGTCATATTTTAGTGTCTAAAACATATAAAAGCACTTACGAAAATATGTGACAATACCATAACGCTATTTCAGTTGTCAAAACGTGCACTTATTTGTTTACACCAGTACACAACAGGATGTCACTGGTCAGATTTCTGCGGTTAATTTTGATATATTTACGCGGTCATTACTTGCACAACGAGCGGCTTTCAGGGGTAGGTGCCATTGCTCCGAATTTGCTCCACTACATATAGTGAAATCACTCTCACTTGAACAGTACCAGAGGCATGGTATGTTCCCTGAAGGTTTATCCATTCATTCCAGAATGGTTACTGAATAGAGTCAAACCAACAACTTGTGAAACCTATCGATGCTACAAACACACATAACATGTATAGGCAGTGAAGGTTTTGTTATTATGGCAGACTTCTAGCATACAGTTCCAGGTGCAGATGGCCGGAATAGAAATATGTCTGAATGTTATTCTTTCAAATTGGTTATTACTTACTGTAGTGGTGGGTGAGCATCTGGAGGGATGTCAGAAGGGTGATAACTGAACTCAGGTGTCACGACTTGTTTCTGCCGACTGACTGTCAACGTCGCCAGCCGCTGCTCATGCTCAGGTTTGGCTGAGCCGGACTGGATTGTTTCCACGAAGACGAGATTTAGCTGAAATACTGATCATGCTAATGACTGCAACGTAACATAACATTCTATTCTCACTTGTATGGATCAGTGCACCGGTAGTATATAATGGAGAGGAACGTCTCTAGTAAAACGTTAAGAGAAAGTACTGATATCCACCAGGTACTAGTCTCCGTAACGAAACCGGATGTGACGTTTCCACAACCCGAATATCACGTGAGCCTTCCCGAGAACTTGACCCCACCAGTGAAACTGCTGGACCTAAACACCTCTGCAGAGCTCGAGGGAATCCCAGTGACGTATACGATGACCTCACAGACAGGTATGACTATTCTTTAAAATCACGTGGGCAAATACATATGTGTTTAATAGAGACCCAACAACGCATTAAAATGAAATTCAAGACAGATGCTTTCCCTGAAACCAGACGAAGCAGTAGTATAATATAACCAAATAAATTGTGAAATTATTGAAATGCACAAACGATGTTTTTCAGTCATACCAGCACATTATCCGAAATAGTACATGTGTTCAACGTTTTACTACAATAACCAGTATTTTTTATTTTAAAAATAAACCATTTAAATTATCATGGCTTTGATCCCTGCTAAAAGCGGCGCAAAACCATACTCGCTTCACTCACCCTGATCGTGTTGTACCAAAAGGCGTTACTTGGTCAAGGTTATTACGTTATTATAACATACGGGACGGCTCGGACTCCGTATATAGTGGAGAATGCACGTCGCTATTTAAGTGCAATAATCTTGTCAGTTCACCTTCCCACCTTGCCTTGACCTCGACTGTGGTCAGTCTAACCTATGTGACTATTCCTCTCATTTAAAGATGCCTTCATGGTCAACAGTTCCACTGGAGAGGTAATATGCGTAAAATCTTTGGACCGGGAGCAATCATCAGAGTACAAGTTACAAATACAAGTTGCCATAGTATTACCTTCCTCGACAAGATCTAAACGTGCAGGTGAGATATTCATCTGGTAGATTTAAAACATGCCACACTCCATACACAGGATCAGTATTACTAGGATTCGGGACGTAGCCAGAGGTTGATGTGACCGAGATAGATCACTTGTATACAGCTGTTGTGGAGTTTTCCACGGTGATGTCTTTTCTGTAGAAATAGTTACTAAATATACAAAACCAAACACTTTCTTGAAACTGCGGGAAGCATGGTTAAATATATCTTAAGTCTTTGTTATGCTGTGACTTTTGCATCATTCGTGCCAGTTTGGTTGTGCAGTATACATGTATTTACCCATAATATTCCAATTATGCAACTTACAATTACTGGTTATTTTACTGTTCTTTGTCAGTATGATTGTTTCCATAGTTAAGATAGACAAAGTACTGGATATTCCGATCTACTCAAGAACAAAACAAAGCTGTGTACGTTACGACGTACAACGTTCCATCTTTAACATAAATATACATACGCTATATAATATCTACTCACTGATATCAATCAACACGAATATTATTTTCCAGCGGAGTCCAATGTTGTAGAAGTGATAGTTACAGTCGAGGACAAGAACGACAACCCACCCCGCCTCCAGGCACCAGGCGGGGGGACGCTGGTGTACGGTATCCCCAGCTCAGCTGCAGCAAATTACCTGGTGGTTCAACTCAGGGTGAGGCACTGTTAGGGATGAGCATTACAGTAATGGACATCCAATGGAGTAATGGACATTCAATGGGTATATTGGCATATTGTGGCTGAAATTCGGTGGCTAAAAATTTCTTTGCAGCTGAAATAAGGGCCATCACATGACAAGAAACCACCGAATTTGTATTCTTAACAGTATGTGTGCCTATGTAACATAAAATCCTGCTCACAAAATGGAAGCCACACATTACTGGGGTCCTACACGTACAATCATATATCAATTATATCTCACAATGGAGACACCGGGTGTCAGGTCTTGACCTTCAGCAAACATCCATCACGAACAGCGGTACATGAACTAACTGCATCTATGACAAACCCTAATTCTACAGGACAGTTTTCATGTGCTAGTGAACGTATACTAACAGCATGTCATTCTACCTCGTTCTTCAGGCAGTCGACCCGGATGAAGGGGCTAACAGTGTCATCCTGTTCACAGCTACTTCCGGGGACACAACTCAGTTCGGAGTGAACCCTACTTCCGGGGCAGTTCGGTCTCTCGTCAAGATGGTGTCAGTAACCGCCACGGAATTCAGTCTGACAGTCAATGCAACTGACAACGACGGAAACGGTGCTTCCACGTCCTTGAAACTTAAGGTTCTTGTTCATTTTGCTCACCACTCATCCCTACATATATACAGTTAGGTACTCCTATCTTGATGGCTTGTGTGGTTTAGCTCACGTTATAGATTCGCATGAATGTCATCCTCAGTGAGAATCGTGTTTACTTGTGGGGACAATAGTTGGGTAAGAAATATGCCAATGTTTTAAATGATTATTGTATTCGCCTGAGTTTTTTGCAGAGGTTTAATGCAATGAATGTAATAGAATGTATTATTTTATCAGATTATAGTTGTGAAGGAGACTGAGAGATTTGGTCTGGTAGCTCATATGCAACCATCGGAGTTTAACAGTCTCAAGGATAACATCATTGCGTGAGTACCCACATGCTATATACTCTTGTGTGTTATGTTTGTATTACATCGACAAGCAGGTTAATTAAAGGCGCACCAGGGTTCCAAATGAATCCTACATAACAATGAATGTGTCATCGGTTATCTCAAACTTTATTTCACCACTATCATACGAGAGAAGGAAATGGGTGAAACATGCTGAAAGCATTAATGTTCATCCATCAAGTCTTTCAAATCTTCCTATTCCTTCCTGTTATATTTAACTCACTGTGCCATTCAGATTGACAAAATCCCATTTCCTGGCTTCAATATCTTCAGTTGTCTTAAACTTCCAATGAACTTGCATAAAACTCATTACATGTCATTAAATTCCCATTGCTGATCCTAAAATCACAGGCCCTGGTGTCTTGCAAGGATTAAAGATTTTGAAAAAATATAAAAAAGTTGAGATGACCTCCGACTCGAAATGCTTTATAGTACAATACATCATGAAGTATTGTACTGTGAAGCATTTTGAGTCGGGGTTCATCTCAAAATATTTTTTTTTCATCTTTAATCTTCGCAAAGACACGAGGGCCTGTTGTCTTTAAAATCCTATTGCTTGTCTTAAATCCCTATACTTGTCATAACATTACAGAAGACGTTCGATGTTTACTCATGTCCACATATGAACGAGGGTGCACTCAATGTGTGATGTTGCAATATGAAGGGTTGTTGTGTTCTTTGCAGGAATCTGAGTCGGATCCTGGGTCTGGAAGTACAGCTAGAGACGGTGGAACCACATACAGAGAACAGCAAGCTGGTCTTGACCAAGTGAGTGATGTCATCATTGTGAACACGCTCTGGCAGATAACAGTACAAGCCACTGTTCAGGGCGGCCATGAAATCAGACATATGGCCATACATACACTGGCTGCTGTGATTGACAGACGTTAAGTACATGACATTAAGAAAACTCCAGTTGGTGTACGAGTCTTTACGTTTGTGGTCTGTAGTTGTCTATAATATACTTAGTGTTGTTTACAAAAGAGACCCATCAAAGGAGACGATCTGACATAACTTTGGGATTTACGATAGATCTAACTATAAGATCACTTTCTGGAACATGCATATATATAATCTGTGGCCAGTATTCCTTGGGCCTGCTATTGCGTTTTCATGAGTCTTGAGTAATGCATATGTGAGATTAAAACGACATTCCGTTTGAGATCGCACTTCAATGTAATGACTTGTCATATAATGTCAACGATCATGTCAACGTAGGTTACTTACAGCCCAGTTATCTCTGTTCCACAAGTCGTCTATTTGTCTGAAACCGTCCAGCATGATGTCGCCATGGAGTTGGCATAAATATATTAGCCGATATGGCTAGACTTTGGAATCGGTTTAAGGCCTGGCAGATTCATCGGGTGTGCGTTATGTTAAAACACGTGGTGACATTTGTTTCAGGTCCGACGTGTATTTCCATGCAATTGACCCGACAACAGGGAAGGCGGTTTCTTTTGAAAATGTCAAGAGGTCAGTTTTTAAAAGAGTTAGTTAACCTTACAAATGACATTTACTTGACAGCCATAATTTATGTATTTACTAGAACTGATCTACCTTCATCACACGTGGCACGACATGTATATGTATTCATGGAGCTGGTAAATCTAAGCACTTGGAATAATGGTACCGAAACGTACCTATCAGCCATCATGTAATTGTAGCAGCCATTCCTTGGTAAATGGGAACGATATCCTCGATTGTTGTTTGATAGTTGTTGTTCATGTTCTTAAAACGCCTTTGTTGAATTGCTCATGCCTCCTGACTGATGTACAGCTCACAGACCTAGCTAGTTACAAATATGCAGCTAAATCTTGTTAACTCGAAATCAACTGAACTATAAAATATGAAGTTTTCCAAAGTAGAAATTTTAGAATAAATAATAAATAAATAATAAATAATATTGTTCTGGGTATTATTCGACATCATCAGTATCATCTAGAAAGGATATATTGAGAACAGGTTCAGCAACATGATTATCTGGAATACTTACTGCCCGTAACTCTGTAGAATGATTACCCTACAATTAAGGATATACTTAGCTTGCCAAGCACCCTGGTGGATAGTCGGTATCTTGAGTCATCATGGCTATGCGATAACCCGGTACACTGAAGTAAAACAGCTAATTATTTATATAAAAGAGACAAGAATGAGTACGTTTCGTTGACTGATATATCGACGTACAAGGGGTCCAACGCAGAATATTGTTTGCACAATGATAGAAATAAATGGTATACGGTGTTACTGACGTTAACGTAAGGTGATGTAGCAAGGTCGTGAAGTTGTGCTAGGTGATGTACCAAGGTCGTGAAGTTGTGTTAGGTGATGTACCAAGGTCGTGAAATTGTGTTAAGTCTTCCGCCAAGGTCGTGAAGTTCCTGCTAATTGATACAGATGAAGCTAACGAGTTTACACTACACTGTGTAGACAACACTGCTAACTGACAGAAGCATTTTCTCCAGTCTCGTGACGGCCAACGAAGTCGCCATCAATGAGCTGCTGGGAGTGTTGAGGGTGTTGACTGTTACCCTCGCCCCGACCATCACACCAAGGTTCAACAGTACTACTAGGGAACCCTACGTCATCAGTGAAGCCGAGATTGCCATCATTGTCATCGCCGGAGTCATGTTTATAGGTAGCGTGGCTGCAGTTGCCGCCATCATCAAAATATGGAAACAGTGAGTGAAGGTTTTCAGAGAAGAATTTTACTGGTTGAATGGTAGGATTTTTCTACGAGGCTATGGGTTGTATGTTTATTATCTACTACAGGGAATGTGAGGTGTCATTTGTTAGGACAGGATGTTTTTTGGCCGCTGCTTCAAAGAACAAATGATATTATTAAAGTTATGAAAAACACCGTATTTTCATGACACCCATCAATTCCTACGGATATTATATTTTATGGATAAACTAGGCGACAAATACGTTCTTAATGGATGAAGTTTTACGTTGCAGATTTGTCTCCCTTTTCTATCAAAATTTGCTCGTTGTGGGTTCGAATCCCAGATTCGCTCTTTTAATGAGATGTGAAGCTTTAAGCGTTCCTTGTCGGTTTCGCCAAAGAAAAGGAAGGTCTCCTAATGGCTTTAAGATTTTGGAGGCTTTTCTTTACTATTAAGCTGCCTTCAGTGTTATGCCTTGGTAATCTTCTAATAAGCGTCAACTCGCAACTCGCTAACGCAGGCCAAAGCACCTGTAGGAAGTAGATAAGGCACACTGTGCTAGTTAGTAAGATATTAACCTGTGTGTCACTAGGTACGAGGAGTGGAACAAGAAGCAGGAGAAGGCTAAGATTGCTCGGCAACGCCAGAAGAAGATGACGGAGGAGAGGACAGTGGACGAAGGCTTCAATGAGACCAACTTGGATTCAGACACTGCAGAGCCACTTGACCTGTGAGTCCTGGTAGATGCTGTCTCAGGGTGGATACTACAATGGGAGAGACGAGTTTTTCTGTCCTTGAAGGATGCATTTAAAATTCATTCCTGATTTCGGTTTGAACGGGACAACTGTTGATTTCTCGCACCAGGTACCTCACACATCCAAGCAGTACCCAGCTACAGGGCAAACAACTTGACTTGACCGTGCATACATTCCCCGTTTGCCTTGTACCATATGTAAAGCTACACTGAAAGATGTGATGTGACTTCTAATACATTTGCGAGATCCCTTTGAAAAGAATTACACGGACCATAAAGGTTCATCAACACTGACTTTTAAAGTCGAGGGACCTCAAACATCGTGACTGGTATGGCAAAGGCCTGAGCGTTCGTATCACTATTCGTGGGTCTATGATACACTTTGTAGTTCCGATAGGTTCAAACGTTACAAACAGATATGGACCTTGCTGATTAATTGTCACCCATTCACATGATTGTTGGAAAAGATACACACATATTGCTTACGTCACACATTCCGTGTTTCAGAGATGCTAGTGAAGACTCGGCTTCCAGAGACTTCAATCCCGGGATTCATCTGCGTTCCTCGAGAATGGCAGAGTAAGTTGGTCATTCGTCAAATGTCATGGCAACAATAAATACATTGCGATATTTTAAAGACATAAACACAGAAGCATGAAGACAATTCCAACTCATTAAGCTCAGAAAACTTATTCCTCGTGTGAGTCCATTCTATATACTCACAGAAACGAATAAGGGAACACATGAAAGTACAAGTGTTTCTTTATTTGTTTCCAGAATGTCACTCACAGTGGTATAATACCTTGTGAAGAAACCTGGAAAAGAATAAATGAACACTTAATTTGTTTCCATGAGTATACATTTTCACAAACGTTGATTGTACGTCTATAGACGTGTTGGACAAGATTTCATATTAACCTGATTTGATGCTTTGTTGACGCAACACAGGATTCTATACTGAGGTAAGTAAATGTCGGAGTAGACAGTAGATACAGCCACTATGCATGAGCCTTTTGTAGTGCACGTCAGCCCGATTAGTATACACGCGCATACACTAAATGTAGAGTATGTCATGAATGCCTGTATCCTAGTCTTTGCTATAACTAAAAAAAACACTTAACCCATTACTAATTGTGTGCATTTGCATTCAAGAACTATTGGTGTTTATGTTTCGTTATAATCTTCTTTTGTCAGTTTATTACTATTTTTAACAAAATAACATTTGCTAGTTGAATTTATGGTACAGGGTGGGGAAGAATATCTGTTCCCAGTATCCACTGCTTGCTACATGCATAGGCGGATCCAGAGGAAGTGTGTGTGTGTGTGTGTGTGTGTGTGTGTGTGTGTGTGTCCGCCCCTCCCCCCTTTTGTAATGACAGTTTATTAAAAGACCATTGAACTCTCGTAAAAATGAAGTGTGCAACCCCCCACCCCTCTCCTTTCTCAAGAGTGTGCACACACACACACACCACGTTTTTTTTCTCAAAAAGCTGCATACGTTCCTGTACACGAGCCGACTGAATGGAGGATCTGGAGGGAAATGTGTGGCCTGGGTTTTTGTTCACGTTGTCAAACTCTTGTTTCGTTTAGGTACACTAAATTATTTCTGACCATAGTACCCTATGTTCTAATAGACATTATTCACTAACTTACTCTTGTTTAAGTTTAAGTATGTGGCACAATTAAGTTTAGGTACATTTTCCCAGGCGTGCTTTCCCGATACTGTAAAATGTAAACCCTTCTTCTGTGAATTCTTTTGTCAGCTCGCTGAGGATGCTGGGGTCGAGACGGAGGTCGGTGATGTCTATGGAGGAGCAGGAAAGGGTGATTACTCTGGGCGATGAGCACAAAAGTGACAACATCATTGATCTGCGGAACATGCTTGCTAGTTTGGAGCTGGACAGGGTTATTCAAATGTTTGACACCGCGGAGACATCTACTGACAAGAAAGAACATGACGTCGAAAGCGGAAATACACCCGCAGCGCTGGGTGCGCCGATACCATCAACATCTGGAACGAATACTTCCGGCGAGATAGTTTCTCATCCCAACACTGTATCTGATGAAGTTTCCCGAGGCAGAGAAAATTTTGATACTGCTGGGGCCGACAAAACCAGTCTCAAATCCAAAAATGTTACATTTACGACTGTAAATCCTCCAGACAGTGGGAATTCTTCCGACAGTGAAAACCTGGTGCAAGAAACGTTGAGGAGAGAGAAACATTATAACCCATGGCTGGACACAACAAGAGATGCCAGCTCGGGAGAATTGGTCACTTCGCTGTGAGGAGATTGTTCAACAAAGGGCACATAAATTGATACCTGAATAGCTCGCGTGTGCCTTCAGCAGGATAAATAGCGCGCATAATGTTGACACAGTTACTTTACAGTGATACGTGCAATATTCACTGAAGTACACCTAAGGCAAACCCCCTTGCTATTGATATTTGATGATCCATATGTCATCAGCATCATCACCATCATCATCTTCATAAAAATGTCCTACCCGAGTAATAACAAGTACTATCCCAACAATCGAACCAGCTGACCGAGGCAAGTCAATACTAATCGATAACGTGTGCCTTAACTGAGCGTCGCTGTATGGGAATGTAAACCACACAACCAGCTCGTATGTTTATGATGTTGCCAGCTGTTTCTAATAGCACTTTTACTGGTGTAAGGGTCCACGGTGGTGCAGGCCAGCCATCGTGGTGTATTGTCAACAAAACCAAACGAGTGCAATAATCTGTATACAGACTTTAAGCGTGACGGAGCGTGTTTATTATATTTTACTTATCATCGGTTTAATATATCATGTATGTGTTGATATATATACTCTATTTTTATACACATTTATGATGCACATTGATACTCAAGTACTGTATATTTCAATTTAACTCCTGATGTGTGAGATGAAACGCGTCTGAAATCTGCAATACATTTTTTTCATATTTGACACACCGTACATCGAGAATGTAGTTATAACGACTCACAGATAGTCCCTATGTATTGGGTACGTAACACACAGCCATGTTCGGATGTCACGAAGTCGGGAGTAGTGATATATCGAGACACCAATCCATAGAAAGAGAGAATGGTGGATGTATGGGATTGTATGAATGAGTCCGTCGATGTTTAATTGATGGAGGAAGATGTACCCCGACCTTCAACATTATTTATATCTTTCATATTTTTAAATATAAGACTTGCTACGTCGACATGTGACTGTGACAACAACGTGTGACAACTGAGAGTCTGTGACCAACCGCTGTGTGTGAAGCCTGTGGTTGTCTATGAGGCATTGCATATATTACACGGGAGTTATAACTGTCTGTTTTGAATGGATTTTGTGATGCACATATGATTTGTTTTTAACATGTATTTAAATACATAATTAGCTAGTGTATGAAAGTTACATGAATCAAGTGTGAATAAGACACCCGGCAGCTGTTGACGTTACAAATTTGTGTGCTGTCAGTATTTGTTTTCATACAAATTAAGTACTTATTGCGAAAGCAATATCATCTCTTTAATCCCCTACACTTGTTATATTAAGAATTTCATCCGGCAGTTGATAAAAAACAGACATAAGTATTTTCTTCATGCATTAATGTTCTTTGCATATACTTCAGGAAGAATGTACTAGTATTTCATCATGAAATAAATACGTTTTTGTCGTATTTGTGTACGCATCTTTCACAGTTGTTTGAGCAAGTTGTGTAATGTCTTCGCATAGCGGAAAGTGAATGTTGTGGAAAGTATATACTAGTAATTATCCCCCGCAACGCGTTTTGCGGGGGGTATAAAAATGGACTCCGTCCCTGCACATTCGTCTGTTCCGGAGTAGAACTTTAAAAGCGCTCACTATTTCTTCTCCAAACATGGCACATATATAGATCTGGCGGTATACTGGTGCCTTTCGGTAGTTTTGGATTTCTGAATAAAATATGTTTTGCGTTTCCATGGCAACACGTTTGACTGAAGTTGGTGGTAGTGCTGGTTTCTGGAGCAGAACTTAAAAACCTTTCAATACTCTCCTTCTACTTTGCTATATACATGCCAAAACATTTGACATAACCATAACTAGTAGACATATTCATGAAGAGTATTTTGCCATTGCGGGGATATTGATGACTTCTTGTTGTCCATGTATCTAAACTAATTCAAACCCTGGGCAGTGCCATGTCAATATTATTGTCGTTTCGTTTTGTCGTGCGGGTTCAGTTCCAGTTTCAAATTCAAGCACGATTGTGGGATAATCGATTCTGATTTAACCTCGCTGACCTTATTGTTTGTAAACAAACATGTCGTCAGAATCGGACGTCAGCGAACTATGAGGTGATTGGAGACGAATTTGATCTAAAATCGTAATGGTTCCATGACGACCTACTAGATTCATAAAAATCATCAAAGTTTACAGTCCAGTTCGACAGTACAGAAACGGCATTCACCAGACTGGTAGTGAAACACAAATCCTACCCTGTTGCCTTTCGTCCCCGCTGTGATTTCCACAGCTAACGCGCTCGACTTTAAATGACATTTGTCAGTCTTAAATCTCAAACCGCAGAAACTATCACAGAGAAGCTTTATCTCCGTTTCAATGGACTCCACACAGGCTCTTCGCTGTGTGCTACGTATGACCCCAAACATCAGGTGCCACTTCACGAACTGGTCACTGGGAGGAGACTGTGTTCAAGTGTGAAGTTATCGTAGATTTTATTAGCACTAAACCATCTAGGAACGGGATCCACTCCTGTAGACATAGAGAGTATAACCTCATCGCTCCAAACACTCCACATTCCGGACGATGAATCTAAACGGACTGTTTGGCTTCCAGGGGACTGTGTTTGCTGTCTATTGTCATTGGATTGAACTTCCTGAAGGGGTCCTATCGTGACCTGATGTTATCACACATACACCATGTTAATAACAAGCTCACTTTTACAAATATTTATTGAATTCTCATTAACAATGACATAAATATATATTTCCAAAACCAAACTGTTTGTCTGCTAATGCCACATGGCAAATCTACTGTTGAACAACATCTAAGTCAATTGTTTCTTCAAATTAAACGATGACTAGTGTAAACACAACGATCAGCACTAGGCTGGGGGAACATGAGAAAATCAAATCGATTTTGAGGTTACAATATGTTTGATTCTAAGCAAACTTTCATAAAATGTAACAACAACAGAAAACAATATATATAATTCCATTTAGCGGTCATTATTACAAGCTGACCATACACATGCTTACAATTACTCCACGGTTTACTGAATTACATGCTGATGCATACTGGATGATCCCGTTACCCAACAATTGTGACCTACAGGAAATAATCACGCGCATTTATATTCCGTGATATTCGGTTGAGCATGGCCTCATTGAACCGTATGACCCAATTATGTCCACATTAGGTATATTACTGGGTGCAACTAGCTGGAAAACCGAACACAGACCCAACCACCGTAGAAAAAATAACATCGGATTTGTGCATTCGGGTCTCCCTCCCCCTATAGCTATCTCCAGGTATCTCGGCCAGCATTGGGCGTCATCCATATTCAAATAGTAAGTGAGTGACTGAGTCTTACGCCGCTTTTAGCAACATTCCAAATGGTCAGGTCTTCATCAATATCACGGCGGCCATATTGAAATAAGTCCCATGCACGTGACTGTCACAACAGAATCAGTCAGTTCTGGTGTCTATTCTAAGTTTTACTTAAGTTTTCAAAATACAGTGTAAAATTAGTTTCTTTTAATAATTCAATATACTGTTTGCACAAACAAGAGGTCAAACCTGTCACAGGAGTTGGTGCTACAGTGAAAGTAGAATATATCAGTATGAAGATCGGAGAATCAGCCGAGAGGACCCGAATGCAAATCGGTGCTGAAGAAACCAGTGGCGTCCAACAATTTACAAAACTTTGATTATAATTAGACACCAACAATTTTTCTTGATAAACAAAGGGTGTTTCTAGAGAACAGTACAATATATAGTTACGTTTTGTTGTGTACCTTCGTATGGGACAGTTTTCTCTCGTTACAAACAGCTAAACTACGGTCTAAAACAAATACATTCAGATCGCTACATGTTGAGACATTAGAAAAGGCACTTGAATGCACGGTTGGGGAAGTCGATGCTCAGTTAATCTTACGTTGTTGCTTTATCACAAATACACACAGTTATCATTTTTTAGTAAACATGAAACACCCTTAGGTCATGAAAAAAGTGATGATTCTAAAGAAAACAAACATTACCCAATTGATCGTTTTTACTCATTAACATGGTCAGAATTTCTTCAGTGAAGGATACGAACCATTTACTTACAGTGTTAACACCCATGTAACAAATATAATGGGTTATTCTTACAAGATAAAACCAAACCTTGTATATCTGAGAAACATAGTTCACAGGACATGTTGTAAATGACCCAAATAATAATGAGAAACTTCTATATTATTTCTTTATGGCTGACGAGATATTTTGAGTATGTTGTCTCATTTTACTCTGCCGAAACACACATGTGTAATCACTGCATCAACTTCGAGAGGTTCCTACGTTTGATCTTAACAATCGACTTTGTATTAAGTGTGATTTTACAGAACAACATTCACGCGCTGGGTGATTATCGATCTGGCTCCATTGTGGACGTTGGTGTGAGGGTGTGCCACCTCGCTATAGGGGAGCGGGGCTGGGCTAGCATTTCCTGCCAGTGAAGCAACTCCTGTCCCCGGGAAAAGAGGAACGGCCCCACAGTCACACGGCCATACTCGTCGTGGCGGCTGGAGCGGGCACCGACTGGTGACGTCATCAAGGTCAGGATGAAGTTGCAAGAGTCCAGCTGTCGTCCAGAGATTGAAAACGAGAAGGACTCGTTGATTTCAGCCTCCGAAGCCCCCGTCAGCAACACTGTGCGTTTAGTCTTGTGCGTTTTCCGTCCGTGACAGAACTGGATGCGTACGTACATACCTAAAGAGGAAGATCTTTAATCAAGAAATGATAAAAGAAATGAGGACGTGCTAACTATCATGATCATGACAGTAATAATTGGAGGCACACGTACACATCTAGATTAGGAGTTAATTGTAACTACACGCCGCGGCCCATGTGAGTGAGTGAGTTTAGTTTTACGCCGCATTCAGCAATATTCCAGCTATTCCGGTGGTCTGTTAATATTCGAGTCTGGACCAGACAATCCAGTTATCAACCAAGTCAGCGAGCCTGACCACCCGAACCCGTTAGTATCCTCTTACGATCAGCATGGGTTACTGAAGATCAATTCTAACCCGGATCTTCACGGGTCTGGTCATGTGAGCCCCAAACATTCATTTAGACCCATGGCGTCATTCTTCACATGCTAAAGATATATCATGTATGGATATAGCGATCTTGGTTACCAACATAAGTCATATATCACAGTCTTTAAGAAAAACGTTAATGTCAATCTTTATGTTAACATGTAAAATTGAAAATATATGCTTATAAAAACGTCCAAGGTGCTATTTGTTAAAAAATATGACTTCGTTACAAACTGACGAAAAACGAACATTCCTTGGAATAAACTTACGATAAGATTTTACATTATTAAAAATCGTTTAATAAAAGAATAAATGGATCCGTTAGATAGCATTATGGTAAGAGTCTGGTGTTTGGAGAGAAGGGTGGGTGTTGGGTTGAGAGAAGGGTGGGTGTTGGGAGGAGAGGAGGGTGGATGTTAGTTCTGTAGTCTTGTGTACCTGTCTCGCCACCGTAGTCCAGATGTCTGAGTTGTCTGACTCTGATGATGACCAGCTTAATCCGCTCTGTCTGAGGCTGATACGTAAGACTGAAGTACAGCTCACCAAGACATGACGTTGCCTGTTGACAGATCGGACGTTATTAGGGCACGAAATTGAGTGTTTGTTTTACAGATCGTTTTCCTTAATGTGGAGATTCAATGAACTTCCAAACTGACCGATTTTTCAAAGATTTTTTTATCAATTCTTCTCTTATAGCTCCTGTAAATTTAAAAAAACAAACGACTTCAGATTTCGGCGCTTCTTCTCATGTGAGTTAAGAGTTATTAATGCTGATATTTGTGTAATAAGATAATTCAGAGGTTGTGCCTACAAAATACAAGAGGGAACTTACATAGGAGAATGTTTCCATAGCATATATGACTCAAAGGTAAATGTCATGTAGCAGTTTTAACTAGCTTGTCTGGCTGGTAAATACCCTTTGCTATTGTACAAAACATAACAATCACTTGGAATCAATAACGTACGTGTGCCATAGGTTCGAGGTCGCTCCAAAGTGGTTCGCTCTTCGTCAGGTCAATGTCTTTCAGTGGAACCATTACGTGACCGAGTGAGTGACGTACACGTCTTTTGTCTACGTCATACACAGAGAAGCGTAATGTCCTTCTGTATACGTCACCAGGTGAAGCCTGAGGGAACAATCAAATTGTCAGATCTGGACCAGGAGAAACATTTTCCATTTGCAGCATGTATGCATCGTATAAGAATACAGAGGTTTATACAACAAGATGGATGGAGTTGAGATAGGAGGGTATTTGAGTTGGGTTGAACGCTTTATAGAGCATTTTCGTTTGAATTTTCTTGCAAACCTGTGGATGAGAAACAAATGTGAAATGCTTGGTATCAAATGTCTGAGGTCGAATTCCAGGGCTGTGATTGGTTTCTCCATGGTGATGACCTAAGTCAGGTACTGACGGACTACCTTCAAGTTAGTCGTACTTAGGTCGAACCTATTTACATTTGTGACATACGTTTACGGTTTTAGTGTGTTTACATTGCTCTTTATACAACTTATGAATGTGAAACAAATATCTAGTTTTCCTCATCACCAGGTGTGATGGGACTGACTGTGACGGGCTGCATTTGGGGTGTATAGTAAGCAGACCGTTCTGATATGTATTGACGTGCCTCTACTATCTTGACGTGCCTCTACTATCTTGACGTGCCTCTACTATCTTGAGAGGAAACAAAATATATGTCGTTTCGATGACGGTGTGATTACTGCTCTCGTGTTTGTCAGATACAATATATCTTACAGCTCGTTATTTGGAAACGTGTCTAAATAGCTTTCGCTCGTTACATACGTTTTAAAACAACCCGTAAGATAAATGGAATATGAATACCGCTAAGTCTCTGAAGTTATGTCATTCAAACTAAAACAGATATTTATCTGTAAATTGAAAATGAGACGCTGTGAGGTGGGCGATTCACAGAAGAACCTAGGCCTGCTTCATTTAGAGCAATATTACATAAAGAATGGATGAGTGGATGGGAAAATAGTGTGGTTCAGGGACTGTGAGACAGACTAACAGACCCTCGTTCAGGCATCTCTATCGACGTGCCATCCTTAAAGGCAAAGGACACTCAGAGAAACGTACAAGTATGCGTATGATGCTGAGAAAAAACCGGATTATAATCCGGGGCAAAATAGAGTTCGAACGCAAGAATTTCGGATCCTTGTAGGAAAACACTTTGAGACATCTTTGGGATAGAGCATATAACGGTCAAGGGTTGTTTGTGTTGGGGTAGGAGACTCATTCTTGTAATGTCTATGGTCACGTGTATGTTACATGTCAACGAGTACGTACCTGGAATTGGAATGTTTCGTTGAAGATAGGACACAGAGTCTTCTTCCTGACCTTTGACACCTTGCATGTCTTCTCATCTGGCAAGAGGAACACTTTGACGAAGGGGTCACGTGGTGCCTCGTGCTTTATTCGTCCTGTAAGAAAACGTTCCCCGAATATTAGCAAATCACATCCATATAGACTTCTTTCATTTTCATTGGACACAAAAGACACAACGCTTTGCAGTCTTAAGAATACCGTTGAAAGCCTAGTCTACTGTTTGTTGACCATATTACAGCTTAATTAATGGCTGTGTCGAACCAGGGTGATGCGCTGATTCATCCTATTCACACTACAATCGGGCTACGGTAACCCATACCGAGCCAAGTCAGCAATTCATTAAGACACATCAACCAGCTTGAGATTGCCCGGGAACAGAACCGGGATTACCCACTTACCTTCATGCCTACTCTCATTTCGAAATAGTTGAAGATTCACCCTTGATATCCGGAATTGACAATCATGAAACAATCGTTGTTTCTTGTCTTTTGTTTAGAATTCACCTGTCCTCAACTTCCATGTAAGTTTCGTTTTGTTTTTCATTTGAATAGTTTATGTGTACCAATAACTGTTCAAGTCCTCTGACTTCACAGTGATTAATAACAGAATGTGAACTTTAGTATACATCCATATATTGTTGTGAATGTTGCCAGTTGGGCGTTGACTGTGATGCATCTATTGATGTGAATAGGTTCGAGCGCTTCCATTATAAGCTAGGGATGATTACGTGGGATTAGTTCAATTGAGCGGTTAACAGACAAGTATTTGATATACCACGAAATTCAAACCAGGTTCGGCATCCCGTCTTCCCGATATTTAATATTGCGCTTAGAGTATTACTTCGTTAATGTGTACACATTCTTTGATAACACAAGCGTCCAGATTAACGAGATTTCACTATCACCTTGGGTACTACGTAACTCCCGTGTCATGTGCCACTATGTCAACGCTGGTGGGTAATGTGCCAGTTCAACTGAACCAAGTGAACTGAATAATATGTACAAATTGAACCAATGTCGATAAATGCATGTCGAAGATAAAATGTTTCATTTCAGCAAACTAAACTTAATTAATTATTGATTTATCTTTCATATTCAACATTCAAAACGTGCGTCTCTTCTGAAAGATGAATCAATAAATGCACAAAGTACGGCATCAGTCCCGTATGAAGTATTTGTATCTGTCACATGATTGATCTCTCAGTCACGACTGCCCTTCATAGACGGGACATTACTGAAGTCATTTCATATTATCACAATATAATGTACACCTTTTAATCCGGTCGGTACTGTTTAAACTGAATTTAGATTACCCATGGAGTAATGTTCTAAATTGTCTATATATCTAAAAGACAGACAAGATCGCCAAGTTCTGTAGTCCGGGCTTCTTGAAAACATTGCCGTAAGCCACGACATATCGTTTCTAAGTGTATAATACTCGCTCTTACCATTCTTCATTCAATTGTTAAACGTAGAGATTTCCGGTTAACTTATTGTTTCAGGCTGGGAATCGACATGTAACACTTGCAATATCACGTATGGGGACACCAGCGATGGCCTCAAACATTGGAAACCACTTGTCTACACACCCAAAGTATGTACTAGATAACCAGCAATGCAGCTGTATTGTGGTGAACTGAGATTCATGCAAACCTCTTCTGTTTCTTCCATTGTCTTTCATTATAATATTTCGATACAGTCCATCAGCTTTGTGGAAGGTCTTGTCTCGGTACAAGAAGTGAGACTGGGTAGTACTTGTTACGCTAGATCTAAGGTGTGTTCCGTCTCGATATATCGACAGCCACAAAGCGTGGCGGAAAGACGTTTAAGCTTACCTGGCAAGTTCTTGACCTTGATGAGGGTGACTTGAAGTTGTTCAACGGCGGCGTCATAGACGGCTGAGAACCAGAGACGTCCGTGGGGGGTGGCGGGAAGGTAGGCCTCGTCATCTTCGGAACCGCTCTGGGGTCTGGAAGTCATCGTATTGAAGAGTGAGTTGATATGGTAGAGAAACATGCATGGCTGCAGCCAAACTAATTTTGTACGAAGTTTAAAACTGCCAGGCCTTTTCTGACAAAGTGTACAGATTATGAATGAAATATGGAATTGCAAATATATTTTTTTGAAGTTGTATTATCTTTAAAGGTTTGTTGGGACAAAGAAAACGTAGTGGTTGTTGAATTTACGACTGTTGACCAATGGCTCAGATTGCGTTCCTCCAATTTCCTATTACCGAGTTTCCTCTATTACGAGAGTCTACAGACTCGTCGGGGGTGAATCAAACTAATCTGAAATTCATATGTTAAATGTAGAACCCATTCACAAACAGATACAGGGGCGATAAAGAGCTCACTCACTTGCTCACGAACTCACTCAAGATCCAGGAAGCGCTCACCTGTACAGTTCGGGCTGTACTGCCCCAAGGATGCTGTGTTGGCGGGGGAGACTGGCCAGGCTACCCCCTCTTTCTCGGCGTCCGTTACCCCCAGGCTGAACCCTCTCTGCGGGCAGCTGAAAGGGGATACCGTCGATGGTGACGGAGCGGATCATAGGGATGACAGGCTTCCCTGATGACCCTACCTCCGGACATGACAGACGCTTGTTGAAGTTGGGCGAAGAGCTCCTGCAGGGCAATCGTACACATGATTTATGATTAAAACTTACTGCATGGCCTCGCTCGTCGTATTAAAAAGTATTAACAGAACTGGTGGTAACCGGGTTGAAAACTATAGGTGAAAATATAACTATATTCAAAACATTTTTTTCTAACATTTTTAAAGTCGTTATTAGGTGTGCTATTTTCAATTACCTCTAACAAATAGTATTAATTTTATTTATACCGGAATTCACATCACAATACATCATTGAATTTCCCTTGTTCAACATTACAAATGGTTTGTCAGAGTCAGAATATATTTTTATTTTTTTATTATTATTATAACCATCATCGTATAGCCTATGCCATCACAGATTTTCAGCTATCAATTAATTCATATGATTCTACGTATTTTGATTTTTTAAAATAAATATTTTGACATTCATCGATAAATATCATTTCATAATGTTTCTAGTTACCAGGATAACAAAATTTAATGGATTTCAAATACTTCTTATGTCGATTTTTCATCGTTCCGATCACTGTAGCTGTGCTACCTGAGCATGTCTCTCTGATATGAAACTGACTTTGGTAAACGATTTAGGAATTTCTTTGAAAGTATATCTACTTACTGTTGAATAAATAACTACAGATCGTGATGGTGATTTTGAATATCACGATACAAGTCGTAAAAACATGAACAATCAGTATCTCGTGGTATAACGGTACTGGAGATTAATGATGTTTTTTTGTTTTGGAATGTCACTCACTGTCAAACGTGAATCTACAAACTTTACAAAAGATATAGCTCGTTTCTAGTTTTCACATGTAAGCCAACGATTATATTTGACTTTGCTTTTAAATATGGAAATAACCCACCTATCACAAAAACAAAACTGGTTGAAAGTGACAGGGAAGACTGATCGATATTGTAATGTACACAGCAGTAAGGTGCGATGTGTGTTTTGAAATGTATGTCAGCTGTAACGTGTATGTCAGTTCAATATAAATCAACATAACGGGTTTAAATGGATCATCTAACAGTGATCCCACGTAAATCAGATCAGTACCGTCCCCGGGAAGTATTCCGGATTAACATATTTTGAAATGCGGTAATCCAAGGTACGGATTAATGTCCTTTTCAATTCAATGTACCATAATAGATATGTCACCTGGTTAGTGGTAATTATCAACCATTTGCAGCTCTAATGTCGAAGTTTTTGGTCAAAATAAAACAAACAATTCTGTTGATTCTGTATTTCTGACACGCTAAAGTCGTCAATTTGATAGGTTCGGGACCCCCGGCCCCTTTTATTTTTTTTGTCCTGGAAGTTTATCAAATGAACATTGAAATTCTCGTGAAAATGAAGTGTGCATCCCCACTTTCTCAAGAGTGTGCACCCCCTCTTTCTCAAAATCTATATCCGCCCCTGTGGTATTTACATACCTTGATGTTGGTGCAGACTGTGATGAAAATGGGTCATCTCCATCATCAAATGACGTTTCGTATAATTTTCTTCTGCGCCTGCGCAACCGGAACAGGATGACGGCAAAGACGATGAGAAGGAAGGCACCAGCGGAACAACCCAAAATAATGGCCAGACTTGTAGCTGGAAGAGAGGAGCCTTGTTTAGGTAACAGCGGATGTATAGCATCATAATTAAGGCAAAAATACAGTACCAAACGTTTTGTAAATTTGGCAAAGTGAAACAAATTTGTTTTTAGCTTCAGTGTGGCTACACCCAAAGAGTGGTGGAAAATATGTCGTCGCTCAGTGGCTGAAAAACTGAAATAGTTTGTGGCCCCATTTGTGCTGCAGTGTGAGAAAATTCAAAACATGTGCAATGTACATTGACAGCATCGTGTACACGTGAACCAACTGATGTGTAAATATACTTCACATTTATCACTATCCGCGAGGTTCACTTTCTAAAGTCAAGATCCATGGGGCCATTTCCGATTATAATCCGTGGTCTGTCAGCATAATTCCCTCAGTGATTACATTCATTTAACATCAACACTGCTGGAAGCTGTCATGTGTTTATATAGAGCATACTCTTGGCTGGGGGTGCGGCGTGGTAGCCTTTTGGTTAAAGTGAACGAGTGAGTATGGTTTTACGCCGCTTTTAGCAATATCCCAGCAACATCACGGCAGGGGACACCAGAAATGGGCTTCACACATTGTACCCATGTGTGGAATTGAACCCGAGCGAACGCTTTAACCAACAAGCTACCCCATCGCCCCTTGTGGTTAAAGACCCGGGTTCGATTCCCCACATGGGTACAATGTATGAAGCCCATTTCTAGTGTCACCAACCGTGATATTTCTGGAATATTGCTAAAAGCGCCGAAACCTAAACTCACTCACTAATCTTGCCTTGGTCATCTCATATTACAAGAATACCAGCAGTTGTGTGGAGACCGCATTTTCACCCGGGACCCTCAGCCTGGAAGCTTGACCACTGTTGCAGCAAGGTGACCAGTGAGGTCAGTGTCTTTACTGCTGTAATAACTGCTTGTATTAATGATGTCATTGTATTTGTACTGCCACTGAATATGTACAGCCATTCCATTGTCTCCTGCCATTGTAGTTCCTTTGTTGTGATTTGTAAACTTAGCCATGAATATTGTTAGTCGCATTTCTTTGTTGTTCGATGGTTTCACATCGCGTTCTTTAAGGACTGATGTCCAGTTGCCCTATAGTTTCAGCTTGGGAATTAACACGGTGCAGTAGGTGAGAGAGACGTGATTGTGTGTTCTCTGAGTTTCCGTGGCAGTATTTCATTTGACTGATTCGAGGTGTGTCCATCTGTCGACACCGTCACACTACTACTGCTTTGATAACTGGCGATAGAGCATGGTAAAAATACATTTATCTGAAACAGTTATTTGACGAATAGTAAACACATTGAAAGAAACAGATGATGCTTTATTACAGCGTTTTATGACAATAAATCGTACATATTTACACCTTTACTTGGAATAGGTTTGACTTCTATTCCACTGAGTTCATTACAGTATAGCATCTTGACCGTAACTACTACATCTCAGGAGAACTTGAGTGCTATAATTGGTCGCATGTATGTGAGCATGAATGAGCTCCATGTTCCCACACAAAACCATGGCGCAAAAATCGTTATCTTCAAAGAAACAGTATGTAGAATCCATTCAATCAGAATGTTAAAATCAGATAAGCAAGAATACATTTGTATATCTGTGAAATGATATTGAATATCTCAGAACAGCTGTGCCTGAATCGCGTGGGCTGTATCATATTCATGGCCATACTCTAGTCGATTTCACAATACTGTACACAAGTGCGTATTTACCAACTGATGACGTACAGTGTGTAGCTGTACTAGTATAGCTGATAATACCAAGTATGAAAAATACTAATAATAATGATGATTATGTTATATTAATAAATTAATAACCTGGCTAAAACGAAGACGTTCCTTCAAGACTGACTGACTGAGTTTGGTTTTACGCCGCTTTTAGCAATATTCCAGCAACATCACGGCGGGGGACACCAGAAATTGGCTTCACACATTGTGCCCATGTGGGGATTCGAACCCGGGTCTTCGGCGTGACGAGCCAACGCTTTAACCATTAGGCTACCCCACCGCCCCCGTTCCTTCAAGACTGTGCCTTAGTTCGTATAACTCGCATCATTGCTGTCGCTATCACCCAGTTTGATTGGCCGTGACACTATTTACCAGATAAAAAGACTTGACTGCACAAAATAGCCTTAGCTCCCATGTACGTGTATAATCAATGATGCCAATCGTTATTCACCTTACTTAAGTGTATGTTGTCTTTGATTTTTATGACATATTTGGCATATTCTAAGATATAAACTTGCAGTGAGCTACTGTGACGGTTGGGCTACGACATAACGGCACCTCCCTAACTATTGTAACGTTTGCTTTTGCTTTTTTGCACCCTGTTTGTCTTTGCTTCCATTTTACAAAACATCACGTGATCAGCTAAACCAGAATCTATACCTCTAAATGTCACGTCACCTGTCCGACTTGCATCACTACCATTTGTGCCTGGGTGACAGGTGTGATTTAATTAGATATTTTTATATTATGTGGCTAGATAGTTACAGTGATATGTTAAAGCAGGCTTGATTTAATTGGTTACGGTTTACTCAGTGTCACACTACGTCACGTTTAGATGAAATCAACCTCCGTCTTGCGAGCCATTAAGAAACAATTAAAGAAACGGAGAGGTAGTTTGTGTTTGTTGTTGGTTCTGATGTTGACGACGACGATGATGATGATGATGATGATGATGACCATCATCATGATAGTTGATATTTCAAGTTGATTTCATATGCCATGAGCATACAGTCTCAAGCTCGATATGATTGTAATATTTTATTCATACAGTTACTTCTCTCATTATCTTGTGGTCAGGTATGGTATAATCGTTTGAGGTATCACCAACACACAGCATGATCAAGGCACGATACCTTAAGCATGGCCTTCAGTTATACATGGTTCACAAACGTGTTCTGGTCAACATAATGCTGGATTTATGGAAATGGTCAGATATTTGTAAATTCGGCCATCATCCATTTTCGTTTGTGCTGACTTTATTCTTTAGCGTACTCGCTTCTATTTCGTCATTATTATTAAACATCTGTTGTCAAATAATACAGCTGTGTGCTTTGGGCGTATTGTTCAGTGTAACAAATGTATCTGGTTATGTCGTTCGATAATTCAATAAAGTACTGTTATCTCACCAAACGAATTAAATCTTTATGCCTTATTGAACCTCAAATTGGTGACCCATTTGAAATGTTTTAATGTGACGTACGGATGACGTCATATCACAATGTCGTCAACGCTGCTCATTATGTCAACCTCTGGTTCGTATTATTACATGAAGCCGGGAAATAACCGACTACTTTGGAAAACAACATATACTATTACTAAATATTTAGAATAAATACGAAAGATATCATTTACATATGTTCTATGTATCCAGTTTAGGCATTCCGTGGGGACATTAACCAGAGAGTGAGTTTTAATATTTCACGTGTGTGACTGTAAAAAGGCCAAAGAATTGCAGATGGTTGATGACCCATGTACATGGGTCAAGTGGTGAAAGATGATGAATTGTAGATGGATGACCCATGTACATGGGTTTAGTGGTGAAAGATGATGAATTGTAGATGGATGACCCATGTACATGGTGTTTAGTGGTGAAAGATGATGAATTGTAGATGGATGACCCATGTACATGGGATGACCCATGTACATGGGTTTAGTGGTTTAGTGGTGAAAGATGATGAATTGTAGATGGATGACCCATGTACATGGTGATGGTTTAGTGGTGAAAGATGATGAATTGTAGATGGATGACCCCCATGTACATGGGTGGTGAAAGATGATAGTAGATGGATGACCCATGTACATGGGTTTAGTGGTGAAAGATGATGAATTAGTAGATGGATGACCCATGTACATGTGATGGATGACCCATGTACATGGGTTTAGATGATGAATTGTGATGGATGAGTGGTGAAAGATGATGAATTGTAGATGGATGACCCCATGGATGACCCATGTACATGGGTTTAGTGGTGAAAGATGATGAATTGTAGATGGATGACCCATGTACATGGGTTTAGTGGTGAAAGATGATGAATTGTAGATGGATGACCCATGTACATGGGTTTAGTGGTGAAAGATGATGAATTGTAGATGGATGACCCATGTACATGGGTTTAGTGGTGAAAGATGATGAATTGTAGATGGATGACCCATGTACATGGGTTTAGTGGTGAAAGATGATGAATTGTAGATGGATGACCCATGTACATGGGTTTAGTGGTGAAAGATGATGAATTGATAGGATGATGACCCATGTACATGGGTCATGTAGTAGTGGTGAAAGATGATGAATTGTAGATGGATGACCCATGTACATGGGTTTAGTGGTGAAAGATGATGAATAGTAGATGGATGACCCATGTACATGGGTGGGTTTAGTGGTGAAAGAGTGGTGAAAGATGATTACTGCTGTACAACAGTGAGTGAAAGATGATGAATTGTAGATGGATATGTACCTAGTGGTGAAAGATGAGTTAGATGGATGACCCATGTTGAGTGAAAAGATGATGAATTGCAGGTTGATATATGATGATTGTTCCACATTGTAGATGGGCGGGATGTGCTGATTTAGAATAGGTGAGGCGGGATGTGTGATTTAGAATAGGTAGCCAGGTTAGAATAAAACACATAAACACACATAGCTGTATGGCATCATCACACATACACCAGCACGTTGGTTTAAGTGGTTCAGACTCGACCCTCCCCCTACCACTGTGATATTGAAGGTAGTCAGCCATATAGGGCGTCCACATACTCTCAACTCACGTTTAGCACCAGTTTCGAAGGTAAGATATACAAATGATTACTTACATATGGACGGCCTGGGAAAGAGTGAGTGAGCTTATGTTTTACGCCACATTTAGCACCATTCCAGCAATGGGACACAAGAAATGGGCTTTCGGGGCCGGATACAGCTTTTTGAGAAAGGGGGAGGGGTGTGTGGGGTGTGTTGCACACTCTTGAGAAAAGGGTGGGGGTTTGCACAC